CTGCCCCAATTCAGATACCCTTGCGTGATCGACTGGACAATGGGATAAAGGCTGGGTGCTAGATCCTCCGGTATTTCACGTGCATATGCAGCAAGAGCCCTATGTGCTCATATTTTGTTTTGCGGCTGGATGTGGGTTGAGTATTTCATTCATGTCCCTCGGATGCGAACTGGGGCTCTCTTTGGCACTTTGAATTTACTGGTCCCTCGACCCTCAACCCAAGCGACAAGCGCCAAGTCGGAGGCGAAAATCGCTGCACGGTGAATGGCATCCCCAAGCCCTCAAACGTGGAATTGGGGAGAAACAATTCGACGCCTGGATCTTCTGTTTTTTCTTCTTTTTTCTGGCAATCAAGTTTCCCTGGTGGGAAGATCAGAAAAACGGAAGGCTCCCAACCTGGCTCGATTGTCACACTTCTTTTGGGTTTGGTCTCGGGTTTGCGGGTGGAAATCTTTGAGAATGGAATCTCCTACTGGCATGTGAGGACTGTGCAAGTTTGCCAAGGTATTTGGCTTGGGTCGTTCTTCATTGGTTTTGCCTTTTTTTGGAAGCTGATCGGCCCCTGCAGCCCATGAGTAGGCTTGACCGCCGTGGCACGGGTCACTCGGGGCGGAAATTGACAGGCCTGAGGGCACCATCGAACTGCAGCTCGAGGCGGGGCTTCGGACCGAACCGGGCCGTGCAACCCAAGACATGCCGCCTGGGTTGAAAGGCTTCGGATCGAACCGCATGAGCTACGACTAGAAGGGTTGGTACAGGGGATATGTATTGGAGGGGGAATCTTCTTGCGGGTTCCCAGCAGGTAAGGAGAGTTAAACCGTTTCCCGTGTTTGCTTTTAATCCCGAGCTGCATTCCCCAACCCCGGGCTCGGCCATTCCCTGAGGACCAAGTGCATTTGTAGACTCAGCGTCCAGTAGAGGTCAGTTTGTAGCTGCAAGCCAGGGAGCATATGCCTAATAAGGTCAGAATAGTTCTGAATAGTTGCCGGTAGTGGTCCAGCTTTGCTTAGCTTTGCAAGGGGGTTCTACCTCTGGGCCAGGCTATCATGGACATGTGACCTGAGCCAAAAGCATGAGTGAGCAGAGGGAGGTAGAGTCCCTGATGCCCAACTGCGTCAACTCTCTTTGAAGTTCGCGTTTAGCTGTGCCATATGTCTATTGTTTGGCTGCAATGCCTTCACCTAGCCAGACTCTGGATGGCGAATTCCCACCTGATGCACCAGTTGGGATGCATGAAGCCCCAGAAAAAGCTGAGATAAACCATGAAGCCCCCAAAAAATTCCGAGAGAAACCATGAAACCCCCCAAAAGAAACGAGAGAAACAATGAAGCCCCATAATCCACCTCCCACCTGATGCGAAGCGGATTTTTTTTCATCGCTGCGCCCAACCTGCGCGGCTCCTCCACACGGCGTGCAGCTCCCGGAGGCTTCGGAAGCGGCTGAAGCGTGGCCGCTGGTGCCGGAGCTGCTGCAGGCGGCGGCCGGATGTTGGCACCCCCCAGATCTCTACAATTGGGTTGGATCTTTAGACGTTATGACTGTTTGGGAAATCAAGGGTTTTCCGTTGAACCCGCAACAAGTTAAACGTTTGCAGGGGGGTCAACAGCAACCAAGGTATAAACCTCTATTTGCTTTTTCCTGGAAGAATAATGAGAAACTGTTATGTCCAGTAGTGAGATTGATTCCCTTCAAATCCAACTTTGGGGGAAAATGCACAAATAAACATCATTTCAGCAAATGGAACATAAAAAGCAGGGATTCTACTTTCATCCGGGGTGGTTCCATCTACGCACCCATATGAATAAGCAGGGGTTGATTAATATGGGGTCAACATTAGATGGCATGATTCTCTCATGTCGGTGTAATCATCCCCTTTGCTTTACCCACATAGACGGAACTGCGCCATCAATGCTTGGCAATCGGTTTCTTTTTGTGTGGCAAACGTGCGATCCCCAGCTCCAGTACTTTGTGCGGAGCCATAGCGGCCATGAAGAGGTCATGTCCCTTGGTCCTTGAGCTGCAATGGCTCCCCCTTGCTGCTCTGAATCAGTATAGGACCACCTAATTACTGTATAGGCAGTGGGTCTACATTCATTAAGGCAGTTTTTTTACTATATTTCGGTGGTCTGTCTCCCTTTGTGGTTACATGGAAGTTCACCCGGTTCTCTTGCTCAGAACCCCCCAAAACTCGATGTCTCCGAAAATGGGGCATGCTGGAGTGCCCACGCAAATTTGTTGCTGTTGCTGTTGCTTTCAGCGGCCCGGGGTGATGTTTCCTTTCAGTGGGGATGTTCAAGCAGGAAGTACGGGAATCCATGAAGATATCTCCGCTCTTCTTTGTATGTGCCAATTTCCGCGGCCTTTGGGCCGGGTTTTGGGGCGTTCGTTTGCGCAGGCATTAGGCTCTTGTCTTGGCAAAGAGAGGTTGCCTTATCAGCCGAGGTTCCTCACTCTGCTTGGAATGTTTCGCAGTTTTACTTCTTTCTGATCATTTGTCAGGGTAATTGCGAAAACAGACAACCCTACTTGGAAAGTCGGCACATGCCCGTTTTGGGATTCTGTTGGAACGCGCATTGCACAGCCCAGGGTAAGACGTCCCTACTATGCATGTTCCAACGGCTCCAGCACACTTGCTATACAATCCTTCAGGGGCCTGTGTGTGGCCCGTGTTGAATCGAACAGGCCGGCTTAGTGACCCTGATAACATGTTCCTGGCTGTTTCAAACACGTCTGGACAAAAGGGCAGTCAATGGTCGGTCCATGCTCTCTCTCTCTGTGCCTTTTTACCAGGCTTCCCTATCTGCCTTCTTTTTGCACTCTCAATTCATAAGCATCGCCGACCGTGCCAGTTTTAACATGTCCTTTTGGTGATTTATTCGGGATAGAAATGCTGCAGATGGTTGCGAAATCCATTTCGCACCACCGTTCAGGAACCCGCGAATGATTCCTCAACGTAAATACCAACAAGCGTACTTGTTTCAAGCCTGGTTTCCGTGGATTCTTAGGTGGTACTGCCAAACTCCCAACGCAAATACCAGGAAACGTATTGGTTTCAACCATAGTGCCAAATCGATTTCGCAACCATCCGCCGTATGGGAAGCCCAGGGACGGCGCACGCCTCCGGAGGGCGAAGACCAGCCGAGCTGCGCCCTAGCGGAGATGGATGCATGGGACCCTGCGGTGGGCATCAGTTTCATGGCTCACTTCCTGAGCTCAACCTGAAGCTTTTTTTGGAAAAATAGGAGCAAGTGTGTGCCTTTTTCTGGGCGATCCACTCGGGAAGTGAGATGGGCATGGATGGGCGTTGATGTCCACCAACCCTCTTGAGGGGGTTCCCTGTTCAGGGCGTTCCCTGATAGAATTCATTCCCAAATTTGGAATGGGAACTAGGGGTCCCTTAAGGCTGTATTTCGCCGATAGGGCTAAGACATCCCGAAATGCTTTTCTGTTTGTGTGGGGGTGGTTCAGGTTGGATGTAGTCTGTTGGCTTGCATTTGTTAGGGCATCCAGCAGAGCACATGGGCGGTGCTGTGCTGAAGTGATTTTGTTTCGTCAGGGTTGGATGTAGCTGGTCTTCTTCAGGAGTCAGCACAGTGGCTATGATCTGTTTACAGGGCACCACTTGACAGACAGACTGGTTGGTGTCGGTTCGTGGGTATGATTCCGTACCCACATGATATCCACCAAAGGGAATCGAGCACAATTTCATGTCCATGTAGGGGCAACAGTTAGCAACCCTTCAGGTTTTCGCAGTTTACAAGGTCGTTTGGTTTTCAGGTAGCTGGTTTCCTTGCCTGCATTAAGTGAAGGGACTCCCGAACGAGGTATGGTGCTGCTGTGCTGCTTCACAGCACCGCCCTGGCGCAACTTCGACGCGCGCCGGCGATTCGCTGCGGGCCTGCGGGGAATCGACGATCACTTCGGGGCAAGGGGCTGAGTCAGAGACACGGAGGGGGTGGGCTCGCCCAAGCCCGGGGGGGCCACCCCCTAACTTGCCCGTGATGGCCTCGCGTTATCTCCCACAAGGATGGGCGGAGGATCCCACGAACAAAGAGATGGGGACCCCAAAGCCGAAGCGAGTGAAGACAACGCTGTAGTTTGGGTGAATCTTGGGTTTGGGACATGGGAGATTCATTCCATTTCACGCAATTTCAGTGCTAACATGTTGCTATGTGTATCTGACCGTTTTTGGGCGTGGTGATGCCACTGAAGACAACTCTTTGAAGTGACTGCTTGCCCCACCACTAGGGTCTCATCAGAAGAAAAAACATGTTTGGTGAACTTACCCTGGAGATTGGCCAACACAGGGTGACCAATGTTTGCTGGCTTGCGCAAAGCAGCACAGGCTTAGATTTGTGGGTTGTTTGCCAGTGCTGGAACTAGGAGGGACACTGGACCTAATTCGAAATTCCCTCAGCTTCTGAGAACCGGGGCGCCCTTGGATCCTTCTTCAGAATGTATTTTATTTGCCCCTGATAGTTTTCAAAGGAATCGAAATAGTTGCTCATTTGGTCCAAAAAACGGAAAGGGGCAAATGAAGCACTTTTTCCCTGTTGGAGCTTCAATCTTTTCCAGGCGGCGAAAACACTTGCTGGTGCTCAGCAGGAAATGAACCGCTTTGGGATTCCCTTAAAGGAAGCCACCAGTTGGATGGTTTATATAGGGATCATTCCAATTTCGCATTCCCTGCCTATCTCACCAGCAAGGAAGCAAACGGAAGGTTTTCCTCCATTCCCCCTTGCTTGGGCCTCCAAGAGTGGAATCCGATTGCAGTGGAACCCACCAGTAAATTGATCAACTTTTGGAGGGGACATTTAGGGACTGCCTAGGGCTTCAAGAACCTGTACAAGTGTCGTACCCTGACTAAAGCATCGTGGTTTTTTGTGGAGGTATGACATGTTCATCGGTTTTTGGGGCTCCTGGTGGGTGGGGATCTGAACCTCGAATTCGTGAGGGTCCCCGGGACACCCGAGCCTCACCTCACCAGCGAAGCTCTCGAGGCGCTGTGCGCGCTGCAGAGCGCCTTCCTGGGCCACGCGCAGAGCGGCCGGGAGCTCCTAGCGCAGCTGCTCACGGAAAGAGCGCCTGAGTCACAATCAAAACCTGGGTAGATGAAGGCTAGTAAGGGACGATCCCAGCCATAAATAGCTGCTGCCGCCTTCTTGGTTCTTTACCTGGTTCTGGCATGGGTCGACCATTTTTGTACCAGGTTTTGATTGTGACTCACCTGCGGCTGCCGATGTTTGTGGGGCCGGTGTCGGCTTGCTTCTCTTTCTGGAGTTGATGCTCGAATTTCAGGGATTATGGTTGAACCAAGGGAAGCCAAATGGAAATCGCTTTGCTATTTTGGTTTTCGAACCGAGATTCGTGGTTGGGCGGCTCTGAAGGTTCTGGCTCTGAGGTAAGGTTCTGCAGGGTCTCACAAAGGTTCCTCAGGGTAACCACAAGGTCCGACAAATTCCGCCGAAGCCACGGCCACCTGTCTCTGCCACGTCCGTGGCAAAGACAGAGGCAAAACCATCTTGTCTGACAACCAACACGCGTGGCAAAGACAGACGCGAGCCCAAATTCCGACAGAGCCACAGCCGCATGTCCCGCCACTTGAGTGGCAAAGACAGAAGCGAACTGCGATGCCCAAAAGAGCAATGGTCGCCTGTCTCCGCCGATGTCTGGAAAGGAGCCGCCTGTCTCCGCCACCCCCGTGGCAAAGACACAAGCGAAACCATGGTGTCCGACTACCAGCCCACTGTGGAATAGACACATAATTTCTGACAGCTTGGCGTGGCCCAGCTGTGCCTTACGGCCAAGGCGGCGTCCAAAGCAAAGCCAGCGGTGCATCAACGAGCTTTGCATTTGCGGGAGGAGGAAGCGCGAGGCAATCTGTTGAGGAAATCACCTCAGCTTATTTATGTTTTTTGTTGGGGGGAGGGGGGGTGCCCCCGACAAAGACAGACCAGACCCATGGGTCTGAACCCTAGATAACAGGCGCGCATGGGATCGGAGCCAGCAATACGATTGCAATGTGATGGGTGCATGTGATGGGCTTTTATGGCGGGCTCAACTGGGGGAAAAAAATGCTTACCATGATGGGGGTGTTTGACTTAGGGATCCCTTAGTTTAAACGTACAAAGACAAGCTTGACCCTTTTCACACCAATCATGCAATTGTGTGAGCCACTTTTGAGGAACACGCCTTCCGACTGTCAGTTTTGTGGTTTCCAACAGAGAATGGAATGAGCCCAAAAAAGAAGAACTGGTTGGTTGTTTTCTACGGTTTGGGTCACTGGTCGCAACTGCTCACCAGCGCACTGGTTTGCAACTTTGCTTGGCCATGCCATGCCCAGCAAAGTACGCGAAGAAGCTGAAAGGGCAAAGCTCCTGCATGTTCCAAGTGCAACCAGTGCTGTGCCTTTGTGAACAAACAATGGGCGTGCCAGCAACATGGATTTGCTGTTGTTCTTTTCCCCTGTACGCAGGGTTGATATTTTGACAGAAACTTGAAAAGCTGCTTCGCAGCACAAGACGTTCAGCTCGCTACCAACTCATCGTTGAAGCCCCAGCTCTAGGAAAAACACACCCCAAGGTCGGTTCATGCTCATGCATCACGCATCGCAGCTCCAGCAATACCTCAGCCAGCGCCTCCTGACACTAGACGCATGTCATTGAACTGTGTCTTGGGGCCCCGGTTGTGCAGGGCCCTTGAACTCCCTGTTTCTTTGGGTTGACTCAGGCAAACAAGAAACAGAGACGTCCTTTTCCCTCGTGTCCGGTTCAGGCCTGGGCACGTCCCTGGCCATGCTTGTTTTGTTTCGCGCCAAGCGCTGCGGTTCCCATGGCGGACAGCGCTGCGGACAGCGAGCAAAGATGAGGAGAGTGATGCGGCGCTGGATGCACGGCCGATCCTCGGAGAATGTCTGGAAATGCGCGAAAGGTGGCTTTCATGGACCTTAGTTAGGTTGTTAAAAGAGGGAGGGGACTCCAACACCAAAAATGAAAAATGGCAGCGTTTTGCTTTGCGTTTTTGTACTTTCTGGTTTCCCTCGTGACCCTTTGCATGCCCAGAGCCCAATTATTGATTCCCAAAAGGCGGTTTCAGCATGTTCCCACCCTGACTCCATGTTAGTTATGTTCAGTGGCGCCTTTGGCCTTTCTTCATAGGGGTGTGTGTGTGTGTGTGTGTGTGTGGGGTGGGGGTGTGGGTGGTCTTATTTGGTCCCTGCACAGAAGCCATCAGACATGCTTTGGGCTTCCAAATAAGGGCAGAATAAGGGGTCTTCCTTTGGTCTTCTGGGCAGAGAACATGCAAGGTATGGAGTTGGCAATGTAGCCTCAAGAATGGTTTCAATCCCTGAGAATGGCTTCACTTCCTAGATGGTTAGTCAGCCGAAGGGGTCCAAATCTTCCGGGCAGACCCATTCACTGGGCCCCAGAAAGGGCTTGGGTCAAGGGTGTTCCTTGGGTATTCCCTTCCCGCGACTCCTTGGCAAAAGTGTTACCTCCATTTGCTTAAATCCCTTGAAAAAGCACACACAATATAAACGAATAAAAAAGCAATCGCCTAGGCATACGCCCAAACCTCTGCTGAAAAACAACACGTGCTCGCAATGACTGGGAGGGTGCACCGTCCCAATATGTGCCCCCCCTTTCGGCTGAGTAGGCACGGTGCCAAGCACTCGGTATAAAATTGGCACCGTGCCACAGGAGAGGAATGAATTTGATCCGGTAGCTCAGATCTCCGCTGCTTCTTTCCGTGGCTGAGCCCACTGGCTTGTTCCCCTGCTGGTGTTAAAGGGAATCTGTATGGACTTCAGCAAATGGAGGTAGCACTTTTGCCAAGGAGTAGTGGTTTCGCTTGTTGTTGTGGAGTCCCACTGCGGATTGCTTTGGATCCGACCCTTTCCAAACAACGCAGATGCGTTGTTTCTTTTGTTTATCCATTATGTACCGCTGGTATTTTGGTTGTTGGCCTCATTTGTTCCCCAAAATACCTGTGGAGGAGTGGCCTTGTTGTAGCGCAACTGCTGGTTGACCACCTGCTCCGCCCCAGCGGTCTGAGGTCTTCGAAGACGGCGTCGTCACGGCGACGCGCTAGACGGAGTACCAAGTCAAGGAGTGAAGAGCTCGAGACAGGGAGCCATACAGAAATTTGGGTGTGAATCAATCTTTGCTGATTTGAAGCCACTGTTAGCCCACTTGAGGTGAGAGCATCTGCAACATGTTGAGCTTTTGTCCGGGCAGTCACGTCAGGGCAAGTTGAGCAGCTGCGTTGCTTCCGAAGCATTTTCGGCTCCGTTCGCCGGAGCTTTGCCACGACCGGAACGCGGTTGCCTCGCGCACAGAGTCACCTGCGTGCACTTTCTGTATTCGCAAGGCACGGTGGAGACGTTGCACGCAGCTTCCAAGGTGAGTTTGTTTAGCAAATGTATGGCCCCCCACAGAAACTTGACAAATGAACGATTGTTGGATGCCTTGTAGGACTCCTTTCGGAGGATCCCTTTGGGCGGAACTTTTAGACTTGCATTGTCGGGCTCCAACAGAAGATATGGAACCCAGACCTCTCCCAAACTTGTCCCAACCAAAGGTTTCGCCGAAGCTCGTGCTACGCTACCAGGCCCTCCCAAAGTGTTCGAAGAACACACTGCAGCAAAGTGACCCTGACAGGCATGAACGTACAGATCAAAAAGGAGCATGCAATCGAAGAGGCTGGGTGCACACCCGGCATCAAAGTTGAGCTTCCCACCCAGGACGGGGGTTCCCCCTTGTCACTTGTTGGATTCCAAGTTGAAGCGAGTTCTCTGGGCCTGTTTTGAAACGCCACTGTTTCCTTCTGGTTGGGTGGTGATTGATTGGAAACACATGGAACTCTGCAGGAGTCTGCGTGCTCGCAACCTGCAAAGCGTCGGCGCCTTCGGCGCCATGACGTGCAGGTGAGTCAAAGCATGGGCGCCATGTGCAAGAAAGAGGAGAGCCAGGAGGGTCTTGACTTGCACAACCTTTGGTTGCAGGTCAAGATGGAGGTGAAGGAAGAAGCTCAGCTGAGCAAAGCTTGTGGTTTGCCCATGTTTTCCACGACTTGCTGCCCACCTTGTGCTTCCCTTGTTTGCTTGCGTTGTTTTCCGAGCGTTTCCAGTGGCTCGTGCTGATGTTTCCCCGATCCCCCCCATGCTTCCATGTGTGGCTTGCGATTCGTCATGGCAACCCCCGATGGCATCAGGAAATCGAAGCCATGGAGCGGCACGAGCCGGGCGGATGGGTCAAGACGGAGCCAACAGAGTCCAAGGCAGGACAACATGGGTGCGGTTCGATTTGTTTCTTTGGGAAAAGAACCTGGTGATTCGATTCACAGGGAAACAAAGAGGAACCCGTTGCTATTCCAGGGGTCCCCTAATAATCATTTTTTAATAAACATGATGGAGGCCTGGAGAAATACACGGGACGATGTGCAGTGAACACATTTGAGGAAACGTCATTCGCTGTTCTTCGGCTTGGTTAAACGCACAACCATTGCAACATAACAGCTGAGTCAGTGTTGTGTGCGTGGCAGGTCGGCAACTTTTCCCATGTTGCCAACGTGCATCCGTAGACACGGCTCACAATTACTCACCCGGCTCAGGCGAAAACCGAGTCTTCCTTTTCGACCGCCGCAGCCGGGGAAGACGGCACAAGCATCAAGCGCCAGCCGAAAGTCAAGGTGGAGAAGGGCCGGTCAGACGAAAAGGCTGCCGTGGTGAAAGCAGAGCCAGTGTCTTTGGAAGAGATTCCCGGTTTGCTGGTGGCAGGTTTACATTTTGCTTGTTTGTAATGTTTGTGTGGGATCACCAACTTTAGTATTTGCCCACAACAAAAGGGCGGCCACTCTGTTGTTTGGGAACCCACTGGGCAAGTAAGGGCTGGTCATCAGTCGGCCCTCCCAACTGGGCACAGCCTGGCTGGCAACAAGCTGCCGGATTTTGAGGACCAGATGACGGCGTTGGCCCGGCAGTGCGTGGAGTTCCGCAGGAAGTCAACTTGGATGCCCTCAAGGCCGGTGCTGCTGACCAAGAAGCAGCCGTGTTTCTGTGTGTGTGTGTGTTAAGGCTAGCGTCCACTGCACGGTTGTTTGCATTACACCGTCGATAAATTACGTTGGTTTGGGTCATTTGCAGCAACATATTTGTTTGTTTGAGGGAGCGTGTTGCATGTCTCCAGGGCATAAGCCAAAGGTATATAGCAAGGAGTTTTAAATCCACAGTGTCGGCACTCCATGTCTGTTGGGAGGCCCTGCTGCCCGGCAAGCCTCTTCTTCAGCTCCTCCATCGTGCCGGAAGAGAAGGACCCGCCCTGCGTGCAGCGCTTGTCTCAGAAGGAGCTGTGCTGCCTGCGGCGCTTCTTTGAGCGTGGGCATCCCATCTTTGCTGCAACACTGCCAGCGGCTGATCCGATGACGAAGCCTTCAGCACGTTGGAATCTCAGATGGGGCGGCCTATGAAACAGCTGCCAATGTGAAACCAAGGCGTTTTTGGAGTTTCGTGTGCTGCAAGCATCCTCCATTCAATTCCATGTGCTTGTTTGTTTGGGAAGCTACTTTGTCACCGTTGACTTGGCGAGGTGCTGCGGCAGCCGCCACGCAAGAAGATGCTAGATTCCCGGCCAGCGGCGCGGCATGCATGAAGATGTGGCCATGGATGCGTGACCTGCCCAGCAGCATCTGGGCTGGTCGCGGCTTGGCCTACGATGAGCAGTGCGGCTTACGGCGCTTGTCCTGCGCAGGCGGCGCAGAAGCCATGCACGGCGTCCAAGTCTGGGAGTCTGTTGGAGCTGGGCAGCCGACTGCTCAGCCACCAACGGCCGCACAGTCAGCTGCTGCGCCCCGGTCTGTTGCAGTCGGGGATGCAAGGGCAAATGTTCCAGGCAATGCCGTGAAGCCTGCGAAGGTGCTGGCCAAGCAGCAGGAGAAGCAGAGTGGTGTTCCTGGCATCAGCTGGCAAATTAGCAGGTTTTGTTGGCAGCTCCGATGGACTGAAAAAGACAAAAAGGGAGGCAGCGCGCGACATATCCAAAATTTTACCATCAGCAGCTTCATGAAACAGGGCCTGAATGAGGTGGAGGCTGAGGCCGCCGCGCTGGAGGCCGCCAAGGCCTTTCGCGCGGACTTGGTGGCCAGGGGCCGCATCAAGGAGAAGCTCCGGGACGAGAGCCTCACCTCCGACGTGCCCGGGGTGAAATTTGCAAAGGCGAGAAAAAAGTGGCACGTCTCAATCCCCAAGCCCGGCGGAGGGAGAATCCAGGGCGGCTACTTCACGGAGAAGGCCGCGGCGGAGGCCCGCGCCACGGAGCTCCGGGAGCTCCACGGGCTGCAGCGCACCGTGAAGCGCTGCGCTGCCCGGGCGGAGCTGCCGGTGTTCCAGCCCAAGGTGGCGTTCCCGGGCGTCACTTGGCACGTCCAGAAACAATGCTGGCAGGCACGGACTTCAGGCAGCAAGAGCAGGAAGTATTGCTGTTGCTCGTTTAGGCCTCTGGACCACTCGGAGCCGGAGCTGGAGAAGGCCTTTGCTAGGGCAGTGGCCTGGCTCAAGAAGCAGCGGAAGGAGATCCAAGCCGGAGAAGGCGCTGCAGCGAAGGGCAAGATTGACAAGAAGGGAAGGAGCAAGAAGAGCTGAGGAAAAACCAGTCAAGCGTACCATGAGCATTGCGCATTGGGTGCGAAAAGAGCGCTGCATGCTGCAAGTTTGCCAGGTTGAGCTGATTCTTGTTGCTTTTGATGTAGCTACTGAGCCGGCCATATCGCTGTCATTCTTTTGGAACAGCCTCACTTTGCGTGGCGCATGCAGCGTGACGAACGTGCTTCTTTGTACCTGCTTGGTGGCACAGGCACGCAGCATATGTTCGGATTGGGGTGCCTGAAATATTAACTCCACATTTCACTTTCCACGTGCTGGTGTTTTTTAGAGCCACAGCCACATCAGATATGGGGGGCTCACCACAAACCAAATTGCTGATTGTATTGTGATTGCTCATCATGTCTCACATGTCTTTGTGCGCCCTTCATCAGCGTGGTCTCAAAGGGAAACCACACATGCCCCATCCACAAAGAAAAAAACACTTGCCCATACGAGATTGCTTGCGAAAGCAAACCAGGTTTCCACAAAGGTTCCATATTTCCCCCATATGCTCCCACACGTTCCCTGTTCCTATATGTTTCTCTTTTGCCTTGTGTTCTATTATATGTTTTCATGCATTCTCACTTATACTTGTTCTCATGCACCTGAGGCTTGTCAGCCGGTCACCTGAACCGACCCTTCGCCGCAGGAGCTGCATTTGCAGCGGCCGCGGCGTGCAGCGGCCGCGGCATGCAGTGGCCGGCGGTGCTGAAGGCCTGCGCCGCGCCGGCCTCGGGTGCGAGGTGAGCAGAAACCAAACACAGGGGCGTGTCTTGGTTCAGGTTCGACCTCCCCCCCCGCAATTCAATTGGCGCCAACGGTGTTCCTATTGGTTTTAGCTTGGAACCACAGAAAAGGGGTATTTTTTTTTTTGGGGGGGGGGGGGGGAAAAACATGCCCAAAGAGAGGTGTTCTATTTTGTCTAGTCAGGTCCGCGTGGGCGGGGCGAGGGCGGGTGCGAGGGCACTTCTGCCAAAAAGTACATCAGATCAGCAAGTCTCTCCATGTGTGCACACACTCACTTCTCACTTCCTGCGGGACCTTTGTTTGCCACCCACTCAGGAAGTGAGCTTTCCCAGTTTCTGGACGTAAATCACTTTATGGCAAAGCCGTAAACCAAACAGTCTCATTACTTTGCTTGACCAATTTGCGTGGTTAAACGTCTACCGATGTTTGATTGGCAAGTGCAAGCAACCTGGATATGTCCCTTTACGTTTCAACATCAGGTTTCGGGCAAGGCCAGGCCAGTTATACATGTTTCTAGCCACAAGACAAACAAGTTTGTTCAGAAGGCTCGGCGGTTTTGATGTGAGAACGGTTTGTTGGGTGTTATGGGTGTGTCTGTTTTGAGGTCGAGATGATGGCTTTCGTATAGGTTGGCCACGCAATGCTGTATTTCTTAGGGCTTGCTTCTATCAATAAATTGCATGCTTTCTTAACGAGGATGGGGAAAATTTGTGGGTAAATTGCTGGTAAAGAGTTACTCCTGGCAAGGCTTAAAGTTCTAGGGTTTGATTCCTGTTCCATTGATTTCAAGCATCGTTCTCGCCGATTTCCCTAGGTTTCCTGAGGTTTTCCAGAAAGAAGGATCCCCTAGAAAAGTAAATCGCCGGCGCCGATGTGTTTTCTTCAGCTTTGTGAGGCTTCGGGGCGCGGCTGCACCGTGGCTGGACCATGGCGCCTCGCTGGTGCCGAGCATTCGGGTCAAGGCCCAGGGGGACAGGCAACTCCTGTGAGCTTAAATGGGTGGGTGATTGTTTGCAGGTATTTTGCATCCAGGGCCAAGTTTGCTAAACATGTCATTTGGACAAGATTCATAGAAATGATGGGAATGTGTGTGTGAAGGGGTTCCAACGATTTGTGATCGTTTTGCTTTGGGTACTAATACCCTCAAGAAACCCACCCAAGTCAGGATCCCACATGATCAAATTTCGCCAACACCTGACCCATTTCTCCAGTCCTTTGAGATGGTCGGTTTCCTTTTGGTGCCGAGGGAGTCCGGAGGTCTACTCGCAGCCTTTGTTTCCAGGTCCTTTGAATGCAAGAGACGACCGGTTCGGGTAAATTTGGCTTGGGCCGCACTCACCTGTCCAGATTTGCGCGGTGTCTTGATAAGTCTTGGGCCCGGAAATTGTTGAGCTGTCGTTTCCCAGCCAGCCAACCCCGCAGGTTAGATAACGCAAGGAACTCGAAAAAGCAGAATCTGCCGGAGTTTCTTGCAGGGTGCTGTTGTGCTGCTCTTTTAGTGGAAGTGTGTGGAGCCTTCTTCAGGTTCCTAGTCATCCCAACTTGTCTTCGGGGTTCTGTTGTTTGTTCAAAGTAATTGGGGGTTCCCCCGCTCCCTTAAGGTAGGAAGGTTTGGTCTATGTTGAGTCCCAGTCCTTTTTGTCAAGGCCCAACACCAAGAGTTTCGGCCTTGTCAGGGTTGGGAAATCTAAATCCGGATGCACTCGCATTTTTTCGGGAAGTCAAGACTACTTGCAAGGGGTCCAAACAATTCTTCCGGGGATGTGGAGAAGACCAATTCCTGCAAGACCGGTTGGAAGAGAAGTGGTGACAGCTCGCAAACCCAGCGCCCCAGTCCTGCTTCATAGAGACCATCGTTCACAAGCCACGACACTCTGATTGGCTTTACTGTCCTTACTGTCCTTTTTGCTTGCCTTTGCATCGATGTACTTGTATTGCCCGGATTGGTTGCCTCTTGAACTCCCACACTGTAGGCCCCCCCCCCCATTTTTCACAAGCCACGAAATCTGATTGAGGAGCGGCTTTAGATGCCTTCACACCGATGTTGGTCAGTTCAGTTGCCTGTTGAGCTGTCAGACTTAAAATCGGGCAGTCAGATGGCGAGGCAAGTTAAACAAAAGTTTTGCCTTCGCAGCATATTCAGCTCCGGGCACTGGAGCATTGCCACGACCGGAACGCGGGCCTCGCGCACAGAGTCACTGCTGCCACCTGCGTGCGCTTGCGAACCTGCGCGCCAGGCGCGGTGGAGACGTTGCGCGCAGGTATCAGGGTTTATGTTTGGTTCAAGATAATGTACGTCCCGCAAAAAACTTGGCAAATGAACAGTTGCAGGATGTCTGGTAGGATTTATTTCGGAGGCTTTTCTTCTAGGTTGAACTTTTAGACTTGCCTTTGTCGGGCTGGCTCTTGAAGATATGGAACCGAATCAAGCCTCTCCCAGACTTGTCCCAGCCAAGGCTTCGGCAAGCATGAAGGGACAGATCAAGAAAGAGCCTGCGAACGAAGAGGTTGGGCGGACCCGCGACATCAAAGTCGAGCTTCCCACTCAGGACGCGGGTTCAACTGGATCCCCCTTGTGGCTTGTTGGACACCAAGTTCCTCCACAAAGGCGTCTTCCTCCACAAAGGCGTCTCCTACATAGGCGCCCTTCCAAAGTACGGTTCCTCCGGGTTGGGTGCTGGTTGCTTGGAAACACACTGAACTCTGCAGGAGTCTGGTTACTCACAGCCTGTAAAGCATCGGCGCCTTCGGCGTCATGACGTGCAGGTGAGTCAAAGCATGGGCGCCATTTGCAAGAAAGAGGAGAACAAGGAAGCCGGCCTTGACTTGCACAACCTTTGGTTGAAGATCAAGATGGAGGTGAAGGAAGAAGCTCAGCTGTGCAAAGCTTGCTGTTTACCAAGCTGGTTTTCCACGGGTTGCATTGTCTTTCCGCTGATTGGTTCCTTTGGTTTTCCTAGCGTTTCCAGGTGGGTCGCGCTGATGTTTGCCCTCGCGGTCGCCCCTTATGTTTCATGTTGGGTTTCCGGGGCATCAGGAACTTGAAACCATGGACGGGCGCAACCCGGAGGGCGGATTGAAGGAAGTCAAGACAGAGCCGACAGGCTGCAAGGCAGGACATCAGAAATGGGTTGGGCTCCTCTTCGGGGGGAGCGCTGCATCCTTTTGCCCCATGGTGCCAATGTGCGTTGTTAATCACCCTCTCATACTCGCCTGAATCAGGTGAAAACAGAGGCTTCCATCTTGACCAGCACATCTGGGAAAGACGGCAAGAACATCAAGGGTCAGCCAAAAGTGAAGGTGGGAAAGGCGCAGGCAGCGGACGGAAAGGCCGCCATGGTGAAAGCAGAGCCAGCGCTGGAAGAGAATCCCGGTTGGCCGGTTGCAGGTTTTACTTCTTGTTGCTTCCCTTTTTTGTGTTGGATCACCAACTTAAACATTCGCCCGCAACAACAATGCCGGCCCTTGTGTCTTTTGGGAACCCACTCGGCATGTAAGGACTGGCCGTCAGTTGACCCTCCCAACTGGGCACAGCCTGGCTGATCGTAGCGACCTGCCGGATTTTGACGGCCAGATGACCGCGTGGGCCCATCAGTGTGCGGAGTTCCGCGGGAAGTCAACCTGGACGCCCTCAAGGCCGGCGCTGCCGACCAACAATCAAGTAAACAGGATCGTTTGCATGTTGAAGGCTTGCGCCTGCTGCACAGTTGTTCGCATGACTCCTCGAAATTGCACGCGTTGAGGCATTGCGTGCGGTGGGTCTTTTTGCAGAAAATAACATGTTATTCGGGACCATGTTGGGTCATGTTTCTAGAGTATATTCCCAGGTTGTGCTACAATGGACCGTTAGATCAACAGTGTTGGCACGCCATGTTCGTTGGGAGGCCCTGCTGCCCGGCAAACCTCTTCTTCAGCAGACCCATTGTGCCGGAAGAGAAAGACTTGCCTTGCGTGCAGCGCTTGTCCCAAAAGGAGCTGTGCTGCCTGCGCCGCTTCTTCGAGCGACGGCATCCAATCTTTGCCGCGGCATTGCCAGCGGCTGATCCGACACCCAAGCCTTTAGCGCGTTGGGATCTCAGCGGCGTTGGCGCTGAGGGGATGGGATGCTGCAGCCTGATCATCACCGGTTTGCCCACGAAAATGCGCCCCTTTCTTTTGGAACGTGCTCCAACAAGCCAAGAGTCGTTGTAGGAGTTTCGTGTGCTGCAAGCATCCATTCAATTCAATGTGCTTGTTTGTTTGGGTGGCTACTTTGTCACCGTTGACTTGGCGAGGTGCTGCGGCAGCCGCCTCGCAAGAAGATACAAACTTCCCGGCCAGAGGCGCGGCATGCATGAAGATGTGGCCGTGGATGCGTGACCTGCCCAGCGGCATTTGGGCTGGTCGCGGCTTGGCCTACGATGAGCAGAGCGGCTTGCGGCGCTTGTCCTCGGCAGGCGGCGCAGAAGCCATGCACAGCGTCCAAGTCTGGGAGTCTGTCGGAGCTGCCGGGCAGTCAGCTGCTCAGGCGCCTGCTGCTGCAAAGCCCGGGGCTGTGGATGTTGCTGCTAGGGATGCAAAAGGGAATGCTCCAAGCAATGCTGTGAAGCCTGCGAGGGTGCTGTCCAAGCAGCAGGAGAAGCAGAGTGGGATTCCGGGCATTAGTTGGAAGTCAAGCACGTTTAGTTGGCAGCTTCGGTGGACTGAGAAAGACAAGCAAGGCACCAACGCGCGACAAAGCCGATTATTCGGCATCAGTGGCTTCATGAAGCAGGGCCTTGACGAGCAGGCTGCTGAGGCCGCCGCTCTGGAGGCCGCCAAGGCCTTTCGCGCAGACTTGGTGGCTAAGGGCTGCATCAAGGAGAAGCTCCGGGACAAGAGCCTCACCTCCGACGTGCCAGGGGTGTGTTTCAAAAAAAACAACAATAAATGGCACACCCAGATCTCCACACCCGGTGGCAAGACAATCCATGGCGGCCACTTCACGGAGAAGGCCGCGGCGGAGGCCCGCGCCATGGAGCTCCGGGAGCTCCACGGGCTGCAGCGCACCGTCAAGAGCTGCGCTGCCCGGACGGAGCTGCCGGTGTTTCAGCCCAAGGTGCCGTTCCCGGGCGTGGCTTGGCACACGCGAAGTCAATGCTGGCAGGCACGGACTTCAGGCAGCAAGAGCAGGAAGTATTGCTCGTTTAGGCCTCTGGACCACTCGGAGCCGGAGCTGGAGAAGGCCTTTGCCAAGGCAGTGGCCTGGCTCAAGAAGCAGCGGAAGGAGATCCAAACAAGAGAAGGTGCCGTGGTGGTGAAGGGCAAGATTGACAAAAAGCGCAGGAGCAAGAAGGGCTGAGGAAGAGCCATGCAAGCGATTGGCAGTGGAAAGGGCGCTGCTGCATTTTGCCTGGTTGAAATGTTCCTTGTCTTGTTTGTAGCTACTCAGCCAGTCACACTGCTTTGGCATTCTTTGAGAACGGCTTCGCTTTGCGAGACGCATGTTGGATTGCTGTGTTGTGTATGTTTGTCCTTTTTTGTACCTGCCTGGTGGCACAGACACACAGCACATGTTCGGATCGGGGTGTTTGACATATATAATGACAGCATGCTGTATGGTTTGCGAGGGGCCTGCTTAGGGCCACAGCCTGGAGGCTCACCACAAACCCACATGCTGATCATATTGTGGTTGCTCATTGTGACTCATGGCTTCCTTTCGGGTTCCCTTGATGAGCCCAAACATGGTCCGTCTAAGACATGCCTATACGATAATTATGACTGAAATCACAGTAGGTTCCTATGGGGTTCCATATTTCTCATATGTTTCCACATGTCCCCAAATCTTTCCAATATTTCCATGTCTTTTTAATATATTCCCTTGGACCTCAGGGTTGTTTGCCTGTCCGAATTCACCCTTCGCCGCAGGATCTGAGGCAACTCGCGGACCCTGAGCCGCGCTGGCCTCACATGTGGGCTGCAAAGGACTTTGTCTGAGGCTTTTTTTCCTGGGAGGAAACACCCAAAAGTCACTTGGCAGATGCAGAAAACTGACCGTTCGCTCGCATCACTGTCCCTCATGTTTTCACATGTCAGGGTCAGGATTCTCTGGTTTGGCCTATATATATTTACAAAGGTCCACGGCAACATATGGCAAACTGGATTGGTTCAGGAATCCCTTTAACTTGCAGTGAATATGTGCTGGTATCAATGCGTGTGGGCGTGTGCCACCTTGGGTGAAAACTGCCCAACTCATGCAGTTGGCGCTTTCAACCCCATAGCGACTGGTTGCTTCATTGACCTTTGCAAATGTTTGTTTTGCCGGCTTCTCCGTAGTAGGGAGTAGATGGTGAAATTACAGGGAAACATAGAAACATACGGGACAATATGGGAACACCCATATGGGAACATATGTTTTGCGGGCTTCGCTCCCCCCAACTGCCAAGGGCTTCGTTTCAATATTGGGGTTGGGTGGCCCTACAGTGCCGTACTAAGAACGGCCACTTGGCCAGGTCCAAGGGTTTCTTTACGGGTACATTGGGCTAGCAAAAGAAACACCTTCATCAGGTGGTCTTTGCACGCATCCTTGTCGGAACCTTGTTCTAGAAAATTGGAAATGCCCGCCAATGGTGATGAATTGGTGATCAGTGCCATCCATTGCCTGGTGCCAAGTGCAATTTTGTTGTGTCTTCTTTCCCACAACCCGCCTTTAAAAACCTTACTGTGAAACGTGTGGGTTTGAAGAATTCCTGTTTCAGGCGACGCCATAAATATTGACCGCTTTCTAGCAAATCCAGGAATGAACATCATGCCCAGGTGCCAATTCGAATGATTTGCTGCAACTTCAGGCCCCGAAAGCTTTTGCAAGATATGAAATCCATTCTCGTTATATGCATAATTACTTAGGGAGTCACAAGGTCGTAATGCCCGCCTCCAATTTCCTTTGCTCCTCGTTTCCTTTTGGATTCCCTAAACCCTTCCACAGAATTGGCTTTCTGGTTCCATGGCAGGCTGCAGGCGAGAAGGAACCCTTCAGCTAAAGTTAGGCCGAAGGCCTAAATGGGTTTGGGTGGCTGTGGGGTTAGCAGAATTTCTGACGAAAGCGGACCTCGTTTGAGGCAGGACCCACGCACCCAAGATGTCGGATGGACTCATGAATCCAAGTCTTGCAGCAGCCGTCCCCTGATGATCGTAGATCAATCAAGGATCAGGCGCACATGGAACATATGGGATTTGAAGCCTTGTGGTTAAGATTTGCTTGCAGGGCTCATGGATCCAACTTGTTTGCGCCGGTTTTCCTGAGGCTTCGGAGAACGCAGCGGCTGAATTGTGGCGCTTCGCTGGTGCCGGAGCTTCAGGCGACGGAGCGTGGGCCCAGGCGACGTGAACTTAAATGGGCGTGTCATGTTGAAGTCCCTTACATCCAGGGCTAAGTTTGCTAGGGACGTCAGTCAGACATGCAAGACTCAGCAAATGATGCGAAGGTGGGTCTGTGTGTGTACGCGTTTTTTTGGGGAAGGGGGCCCAAACAATGTCCACAACAGCAAAGCATGGTACCCTCAAAAAGACACTCAATCAAAATCCCAAATGATCCAATTAGATTTTGCCAAAACCTGAATGAGTGCTTCTCCAAATAGGATCCCTTAAGATGGTTGGTTTCCTTTGGGTGCCTCTACGGGAGCCCGACAGCATAGAATTTGCATCCAGGTCCTTTCATTGTAAGAGATGACCGATTCGAGCAAAGTTGGTTTGGGTTCATGACTCACCTGTTCAGATGCGTGAGATGTCTTCATAAGCCTACACTCGCCGGTGCACTCCGCCAGATTGCGGAAGGAACCCGCAAAGGGGCCTGCTCCGAAAACTTGTGGATGTTTGGGTTCCATGTGAATCTGCAGGGTGACGTTCCTTGGAAGTGTGGGGAGTCTTCGGTTTCCCATTCATCCCAATTTGTTTTGGGGGGGTTCTATTGCTTGTTCCCAATTTCCCCCAAAAATGGAATTGGAGTTTCCCCGGCTTCGGGTAGGAAGGTTTGGTCCATGTTGGGTCCCAGTCCTTGTTGTCAAGGCCCAACACCAAGAGTTTCGGCCCTGTCAGGGTTGGGAGCCCCTCCAAATCCGGATGCACTCGCATTTTTCCGGGAAGTCAAGACGACTTGCAAGGGGTCCAAACAGTTCTTCCGGGGATGTGGAGAAGACCAATTCCTGCAACACCGGTTGGAAGAGAAGTGGTGGCAGCCAAACCCAGCGCCCCAGTCCTGTTTCATAGAGACCGTCGTTTCGTTCACAAGCCACAACACTCTGTTTGGCTTTACTGTCCTTACTGTCCTTTTTGGTTGCCTTTGCATCGATGTACTTGTATTGGTTGCCTTTTGACCTCCCACACTGTAGGCCCCCCCCATTTTTCACAAGCCACGAAATCTGATTGAGGAGCAGACGGCTTTAGATGCCTTCACACTGACGTTGGTCAGTTCAGTTGCCTGTTGAGCTGTCAGACTTAAAATCGGGCAGTCAGATGGCGAGGCAAGTTAAACAAAAGTTTTGCCTTCGCAGCATATTCAGCTCCGGGCACTGGAGCATTGCCACGACCGGAACGCGGGCCTCGCGCACAGAGTCACTGCTGCCACCTGCGTGCGCTTGCGAACCTGCGCGCCAGGCGCGGTGGAGACGTTGCGCGCAGGTATCAGGGTTTATGTTTGGTTCAAGATAATGTACGTCCCGCAAAAAACTTGGCAAATGAACAGTTGCAGGATGTCTGGTAGGATTTATTTCGGAGGATCCCTCTAGGTTGAACTTTTAGACTTGCCTTTGTCGGGCTGGCTCTTGAAGATATGGAACCGAATCAAGCCTCTCCCAGACTTGTCCCAGCCAAGGCTTCGGCAAGCATGAAGGGACTGATCAACAAAAAGCGTGCGAACGAAGAGGTTGGGCGGACCCGCGACATCAAAGTCGAGCTTCCCACTCAGGACGCGGGTTCAACTGGATCCCCCTTGTGGCTTGTTGGACACCGAGTTGAGGCGAGTTCTTCCACAATTGCGTCTCGTGCATGTTAAACGGTGGTTGCTTGGAAACACAGTGAACTCTGCAGGAGTCTGGTTACTCACAGCCTGTAAAGCGTCGGCGCCTTTGGCGTCATGACGTGCAGGTGAGCCAAAGCATGGGCGCAATTTGCAAGAAAGAGGAGAACAAGGAAGCCGGCCTTGACTTGCACAACCTTTGGTTGAAGATCAAGATGGAGGTAAAGGAAGAAGCTCAGCTGTGCAAAGCCTGCTGTTTACCAAGCTGGTTTTCCACGGGTTGCATTGTCTTTCTACTGATTGGTCCCTTTGGTTTTCCTAGCGTTTCCAGGTGGGTCGCGCTGATGTTTGCCCTCGCGGTCGCCCCTTATGTTTCATGTTGGGTTTCCGGTGCATCAGGAAATTGAAGCCATGGACGGGCGCAACCCGGAGGGCGGATTGCAGGAAGCGAAGACAGAGCCGACTGACTGCAAGGCAGGACATCAGAAATGGGTTGGGCTCCTCTTCGGGGGGAGCCAATAAGCTGGGGCCCTCGTGCAAAGCAGGCAATGGACTTGATGTGTTTCACTCATTTCAGGAAGCTTATTCGGCTGTTGTTTGGTGCCTGTTCATCATGACTGCAGAGTCAGCTTTCAATTTGGATGGCAAAGTGCCAATTATGACTGCTTGGACTTGCGCTGCATCCTTTTGCCCCATGGTGCCAATGTGCGTTGTGAATCACCCTCCATACTCGCCTGAATCAGGTGAAAGCAGAGGCTTCCTTCTTGACCAGCACATCTGGGAAAGACGGCAAGAACATCAAGGGCCAGCCAAAAGTGAAGGTGGGAAAGGCGCAGGCAGCGGACGGAAAGGCCGCCATGGTGAAAGCAGAGCCAGCGCTGGAAGAGAATCCCGGTTGGCCGGTTGCAGGTTTTACTTCTTGTTGCTTCCCGTTTTTGTGTTGGATCACCAACTTGAACATTCGCCCGCAACACCAATGCCGGCCCTTGTGTCTTTTGGGAACCCACTCGGCATGTAAGGACTGGCCGTCAGTTGACCCTCCCAACTGGGCACAGCCTGGCTGATCGTAGCGACCTGCCGAATTTTGAGGGCCAGATGACCGCGTGGGCCCATCAGTGTGCGGAGTTCCGCGGGAAGTCAACCTGGACGCCCTCAAGGCCGGTGCTGCCGACCAATAATCAAGTAAACAGGATCGTTTGCATGTTGAAGGCTTGCGCCCGCTGCACAGTTGTTCGCATGACTGCTCGAAATTGCACGCGTTGAGGCATTGCGCGCGGTGGGTCTTTTTGCAGAAAATAACATGTTATTCGGGACCATGTTGGGTCATGTCTCTAGAGTATAATCCCAGGTTGTGCTACAATGGACCGTTAGATCAACAGTGTCGGCATGCCATGTTCGTTGGGAGGCCCTGCTGCCCGGCACACCTCTTCTTCATCAGCCCCATTGTGCCGGAAGAGAAAGACTTGCCTTGCGTGCAGCGCTTGTCCCAAAAGGAGCTGTGCTGCCTGCGCCGCTTCTTCGAGCGACGGCATCCAATCTTTGCTGCACCACTTCCAGCGGCTGATCCGACACCCAAGCCTTTAGCGCGTTGGGATCTCAGATGGGGCGGCATTGGCGCTGAGGGGATGGGATGCAGCCTGATCATCACCGGTTTGCCCACAAAAATGGGTCCCTTTCTTTTGGAACGTGCTCCAACAAGCCAAGAGTCGTTGTAGGAGTTTCGTGTGCTGCAAGCATCCATTCAATTCCATGTGCTTGTTTGTTTGGGTGGCTACTTTGTCACCGTTGACTTGGCGAGGTGCTGCGGCAGCCGCCTCGCAAGAAGATAAAAACTTCCCGGCCAGAGGCGCGGCATGCATGAAGATGTGGCCGTGGATGCGTGACCTGCCCAGCGGCATTTGGGCTGGTCGCGGCTTGGCCTACGATGAGCAGAGCGGCTTGCGGCGCTTGTCCTCGGCAGGCGGCGCAGAAGCCATGCACAGCGTCCAAGTCTGGGAGTCTGTCGGAGCTGCTGGGCAGCCGGCTGCTCAGCCGCCTACTGCTGCAAAGTCAGCTGCTGCAACGCCTGGACCTGCTGCAGCAGGCGGGAATGTTCCAGGCAATGCCCTGAAGCCTGCGAAGGTGCTGTCCAAGCAGCAGGAGAAGCAGAGCGGCGTCCCTGGCATCAGTTGGGTGTCACCACAGTTCACTTGGAAGCTTCGATGGACTGAAAAAGACGAAAAAGGAGCCAGCACCCGCCAAGCACAATCTTTTACCATCAGCAGCTTCATGAAACAGGGCCTGAATGAGGTGGAGGCTGAGGCCGCCGCGCTGGAGGCTGCCAAGGCCTTCCGCGCGGACTTGGTGGCTAAGGGCTGCATCAAGGAGAAGGTCCGGGACGAGAGCCTCACCTCCGACGTGCCCGGGGTAAGCTTCCAAAAGCTGAAGAAGAAGTGGCTGGTTCAGATTGTCAAGCCTGGCAGTAGGAACATCCATGGCGGCTACTTCACGGAGAAGGCCGAGGCGGAGGCTCGCGCCACTGAGCTTCGGGAGCTCCACGGGCTCCAGCGCACCGTGAAGAGCTGCGCTGCCCGGGCGGAGCTGCCGGTGTTTCAGCCCAAGGTGGCGTTCCCGGGCGTCACTTGGCACGCGAGAAGTCAATGCTGGCAGGCAGACAGCAAGGGAACGATTCGGATGCAACGCACTTTCAAGCCCCTGGAGCACTCGGAGCTGGAGCTGGAGAAGGCCTTTGCCAAGGCAGTGGCCTGGCTCAAGAAGCAGCGGAAGGAGATCCAAGACGGAGGAGGCGCTGGAGCGAAGGGCAAAATTGACAAGAAGGGAAGGAGCAAGAAGGGCTGAGAAAGAACCAGTCAAGCGTACCGTGAGCATTGCGCATTGGTGCGAAAAGAGCGCTGCTTACTGATGTTTGCCAGGTTGAACTGATTCTTGCTGCTTGTGATGTAGCTACTGAGCCCGCCATATTGCTGTCATTCTTTTGGAACAGCTTCACTTTCCGTGGCGCATGCCGGATTGCTGTAGCATGACGAACGTGCTTCTTTGTACCTGCTTGGTGGCACAGGCACGCAGCACATGTTCGGATTGGGGTGCTTGAAATATTAACTCCACGTTTCACTTTCCATGTGTTGGTGTTTTTTAGAGCCACAGCCACATCAGATTTGGGGGCTCAGCACAAACCAACACGCTGATTGTATTGTGATTGCTCATCATGTCGACATGTCTTTCCGTGCCCCTGATCAGCGTGGTCTTCAAGGGAAACCAAATATGCCCCATCAGGTCATGGGTGTCAGCCAGTCACCTCTCTTCGCCGCAGGAGCCGCATTTGCATGCTGAAGGCGGTGCGCAAGGCTGGGCCACGCCGGCCTTTGATGCGAGGTGAGCAGAAGCCAGCCCCTGGCTTGATGCCAAAAAAAGAATGTCTTGGTTCAGGTTCGACCCCCTCAGCAATTTGATTGGCGCCAACGGTGCTCCTGTTGGTTTCAGCTTGGAACCACAGAAAAGGGGGGAATTTCAAAGATGACACGCCCAAGGTTTTCTATAGCCCCACGCAGGCCCGCGTGGGCGGGTATGAGGGTGCAATAAACAAGTTTGGACTTTTTGCGCCACCCCTCAGGAAGTGAGCTTTCCCAGTTTCTGGATGTTAGTCACTTTCTGGAAAGGCAGTAAAGCAGTCTCATGACTTTGCTTGACCAATTTGGGTGCTGCTTACACCTCGCCTGTGTGGCCAAGTTAGCTCGAGGCTACCTTTGGCAAGGTGGTTGATTGGCAAGTGACCTGGATATGTCCCTTTACGTTGCAACATCCAGGTTTCGCTCACTGGCCAGGCCAGTTATACATGTTTTCATCCAAAAGACAAACAAGTCTGTTCAGAAGGCTTGGCGATTTTCATGTGCAAACGGTTTGTTGGGTGTTGGTTTGCCAAACCATATGGGTGTGTCGGTTTTTAGATGATGGCTTTCCTATTGGTTGGCCAAGCAATGCAGTATATCTTAGGGTTGAGGATAGGGACATTTTTGGGGTAAATTGCTGGTAAAGAGTTGCCAGGGGCAAGGCTTAAAGTTCTAGGGCTTGATTCCCCATCTTTTCAAGCATCGTTCTTTCCAATAGCCGGCCGTTTTCTGTGGGTTTCCGGAGGTTTTCTAGAAAGAAGGATCCCTGAAAAGAATCGGGGAGGCACCCCTCGAAAAGTATATCGCCGCCGCCAACGTGGTTGCTTCAGCTTTGTGAGGCTTCGGAGCGCGGCTTGGCGGCTGGACCGCGCTGCGCCGGCGCCGAGCATTCGGGTCAAGGCCCGGTGGGGCAGGCGACGCCTGTGAACTTAAATGGGTGGGTGATTTTTTGCAGTTCATTTTCTTTGCTAGGGATGCGATTTGGACAAGATTCAAATGATGGGAATGTGTGCGTGAAGGGGTCCCAACAGTTTGTGGTTGTCATTGTACTGGTACCCTCAAAAAAGTCAGGATCCCACAAGAACAAAATGGATTTCGGCAAAAACTGACCTATTTGTTTGTCCAGTCCCTTAAGATGGTTGGTTTCTTTTTGATGTGCGACAGCATATTTGCATCCAGGTCCTTTGAACGCAAGAGATGACCGATTCGGGTAAATTTGGCTTGGGCCGCACTCACCTGTCCAGATTTGCGCGGTGTCTTGATAATCCTTGGGCCCGGAAGCGCTGAGTCGTTGTTTCCAGCCAGTCAACTCCGCAGGTCAGATTAAGGAAGGGGTCTTGTCCCCCGAAAACTGATGGACGCTTGCGTTCCATGTGAATCTGCCGGGGTTTCTTGCAGGGTGATGTTCTTGTAGAGGAAGTTTCCATTCATCCCAACTTATCTTCGGGGGTTCTATTGTTTGTTCCCGATTTCCCCCGAAATGGTAATTTGGGGTCCCCCCTCCCTGAGGTAGGAAGGCTTGGTCCATGTTGAGTCCCAGTCCGTGTTGTCAAGGCCCAACACCAAGGGTTTCGGCCCTGTCAGGGTTGGGAGGCCCTCCAAGTCCCGATGCACTCGCATTTTTTCGCGGAAGTCTGAAAGACTACTTGCAAGAGTCCAAACAATTCTTTCGGGGATGTGCAGAAGACCGTTTGATTCGCAGATGATTGGTGGCTGCCCTGAATCCCTAGCCTTCACTTCTGCTTTACAGAGACCAGTTGCTTGCCCCCCCTCGCTTTTGTTTCTTCCGTTTTTGAGGCAAGTTGAGCAGTTGCTTTGCTTTCGCAGCATTTTCAGCTCCGGGCACGGGAGCATTGCCACGACCGGAACGCGGTTGCCGCGCGCACAGAGTCACTGCTGCGCTTCCTGCGTGCACCGTCCTTGCAAGGCATGGTGGAGACGTCACCGCACAGGTATCAGTTGTTGCGTTGCTCAAGAAAATGTACGCCTCCCGAAAGCTTGGCAAATGACAGCTGCAGGCAGGATGCCTTGCAGGATTCCGTTCAGAGGATCCCTCTAGGTTGAACTTTTTGGCTCCTGAAGATATGGAACCGAATCAAGCCTCTCCCAGACTTGTCCCAGCCATCGCGCCACCCTGCCAGGCATGAAGGGACAGATCAAGAAAGATCCTGCGGACGAAGAGGTTGGGCGGATCCCCAACATCAAAGTCGAGCTTCCCACTCAGGACGCGGGGTTTAATTGGATCCCCCTTCTCGCTTGTTGGACACCAAGTTCCTCCACAAAGGCGTCTCCTACATAGGCGCCCTTCCAAAGTACGGTTCCTCCGGGTTGGGTGGTGGTTGCTTGGAAACACAGGAAAAACTGCAGGAGTCTGGGTGCTCGCAGCCGGTAAAGCGTCGGCGCCTTCAGCGTCATGACGTGCAGGTGAGCCAAAGCATGGGCGCCATTTGCAAGAAAGAGGAGAACAAGGAAGCCGGCCTTGACTTGCACAACCTTTGGTTGAAGATCAAGATGGAGGTAAAGGAAGAAGCTCAGCTGTGCAAAGCTTGCTGTTTACCAAGCTGGTTTCCACGGTTTGCTGCCCACACTGTGTTGCCCATGTTGGGTTCCTTTGGTTTCCTTGCGTTTCCAGGTTGGTTGTGCACATGTTTGCTCCGCGGTCCCCACCCCCGCCTCCCCCCATGTTTCCATGTTTGCTTTCTCGGGCATGCAGGAAGTGAAGACAGAGCCGGCAGACTGCAAGGCAGGACATCGGAAATGGGTGGGGCTCCTTCTTCGGGGGGAGCCAACAGGCTTGGGCCGTCGGGCAAAGCAGGCAATGGACGTTTTCAGGAAGCTTATTCGGCTGTTGTTTGGTTGTTGAAGGCACAGCCTGTTCATCATGACTGCAGAGACAGCTTTCAGTTTGGATGGCAAAGTGCCAATTATGACTGCTTGAGCTTGCGCTGCATCCTTTTGCCCCATGGTGCCAATGCGGGTCGTTCGTCGCCTTGTCACACTCGCTTGAATCAGGTGAAGCCAGAATCTTCCTTTTCGACCAGCGCATCTGGAAAAGACGGCAAGAACAAGGCGCAGGCAGCAGACGGAACGGCCGCCAGGGTGAAAGCAGAGTCAGTGCTGGAAGAGACTCCCGGTTGGCAGGTGGCAGGTCCTACTTCTTGTTTGTTTGTAGTGTTCGGGTGGGATCGTGAACTTGAACATTCGTCAGCCTCCCTTTACGAACCCACTTGGCAAAAAAGGACTGGCCGTCAGTTGGCCCTTCACAGCCTGGCTGATGGCAAAGACCTGACGGATTTTGAGGGCCAGATGACTGTGTGGGCCCATCAGTGTGCGGAGTTTCGCAGAAAGTCAACCTGGACACCCTCAAGGCTGGTGCTGCTGACCAAGAAGCAGCGTTCACGGCGCAGTTGTTTGCATGAGACCTTGGAATTTGTTTTACCCGTCGGTTGCAGCGCAATTGGTTTTTGTCTGGAGCGTGTTGCGCGTACCACACCATGTCCGTTGGGAGGCCCTGCTGCCCGGCAAGCCTCTTCTTCAACTCCCTCATCGTACCGGAGGAGGGCCCGCCGTGCGTGCAGCGCCTGTCTCAGAAGGAGCTGTGCTGCCTGCGGCGCTTCTTCAAGCGTGGGCATCCCATCTTTGCCGCGCCACTGGCAGCCGCTGACCCCATAACGAAGCGGTTTGCAAGTTCGAAACTCAGATGGGTCAGCGTTGGCAACTGATGGGGGGTTCCCTTTTAGAATGTGCTGAAACGGAAGCCAGTGTGAACCAAGAGTGTTGTGATTCTTTGTCTGCAAGCGTGCCTGTGTGCCTGTTTGTTTGCGCAGCTGCTTTGAGAACATTGACTTGGTTAGGTGCTGTGACAACCGACGCGCGCGAGGATGCAAGCTTCCCGGCAAGCATGAAGATGTGGCCATGGATGCGTGACCTTCCCAGCGGCCTTTGGGCTGGTCGCGGCTTGGCCTATGACAAGCAGAATGGCTTGCGGCGCTTGTCCTCCGCAGGCGGCGCAGAAGCCATGCACGACGTCCAAGTCTGGGAGTCTGTCGGAGCTGCTGGGCCGCCGGCTGCTCAGCCGCCAACAGCCGCACAGTCAGCTGCTGCAAAGCCCGGCACTGTGGCTGTTGCCGCTGGGGATACAAGAGGGAATCCAAGCAATGCTGTGAAGCCTGCGAGGGTGCTGTCCAAGCAGCAGGAGAAGCAAAGTGGCGTTCCTGGCATTAGTTGGCTGGCACCACAGTTTAGTTGGCAGCTTAAATGGACCGAGAAAGGCAAAGCAGGAGCCAGCGCGCGGTGTTACAAAAGATTTAGCATCAACAGCTTCATGAAGGAGGGCCTTGACGAGCAGCGTGCTGAGGCCGCCGCCCTGGAGGCCGCCAAGCACTTCCGCACGGACTTGGTGGCCAGGGGCCGCATCAAGGAGAAGGTCCGGGACGAGAGCCGCACCTCCGACGTGCCCGGGGTGGAGTTTGAGAAAGGCAGGAAGAAGTGGCGTGTCCGGGTCAGAAAGGGCGGCAAGAGAATCGAGGGCGGCTGCTTCACGGAGAAGTCCGCGGCGGAGGCCTGCGCCTTGGAGCTCCGGGAGCTCCACGGGCTGCAGCGCACCGTGAAGCGCTGCGCTGCCTGGGCGGAGCTGCCAGTGATTCAGCCTAAGGTGCCGTTCCCGGGCGTCGGCTGGCACGCGCCAAGTCAATGCTGGCAGGGCCGAACTTCAGGCAAGAGCAGAAAGTATTGCTCGTTTAGGCCTTTGGACCACTCAGAGGCAGAGCTGGAGAAAGCCTTCGCTGAGGCAGTTGCCTGGCTCAAGAAGCAGCAGAAGGAGATGCAAGCCCGAGAAGGTGCCGTGGCACAGATTGACAAGAAGGGAAGGAGCAAGAAGGGCTGAGGGAAGAGCCACGCAAGCGATTGGCTGTGGAAAGGGCTGCTTGCTGCGTTTTACCAGGTTGAATTGTTCCTTGTTCTGTTTGGCGTAGCTTTCTAAGCCAGCCCTACTGCCGTCATTATTTTACTTAGAACGGCTTCACTTTGCATAACACACGTGCGTGGATGACCCACCAGAAGATCCGTTTAACAGGATACTTGTGTTCCAGGAAGCCTGAGCAAGGTGCGGGCAAGTCTCTCACTTTGTCTCACGTTCCCAGTTATCAGCTTCTGGATGTTAGTCGCTTTGTGGAACAAGCAGGCTGATTACTTTGTTTCACCAAGTCATTGACAAAAAATGAGCCTTTGGTGTTTAAAACACTACCTGCCTGTACGGCCAAGCTAGATTGAGGTCCTCTTTTGCGGGTTTGTTTTTAATGGAGAAGCGTGTAAGAAACCCTTTGTGTTTCAACATCAGAGTTTGAAGAAGATGCCTGTCGCTTTTGACATGAGCGTCCTTTGGGATGATGATTGAAGGGCAAATGCTTATCAAAAGAAGGTTAGAAGGAGCTTCCGTGTTCCTGCAACTTGTTGAAAGCTAAGCGCGCGAGAAAAACTGCGCGCGCGTGTGGTGGGAGAATAGCAATGCGTAAAAAGCGTGGCCCTGTGCGTGAATTGGCGTCTCCGGAGAGCTGACAGCTAGCCTGTTCACGACGCCTGGTCGGAGCAACCTCGGACCACGACTGGACCTTTTTCAGACCAGTCTCGGAGTGCGAGCCCATTGGCGCGGCAAGGTCTCACAAGGCTTGAAATGCACAGCAGGCGCAGCACTTTCGCAAGGTCAGGTGTAGAATGTGTGGCGCGCACCGCTTTCGCAAGGTGCTGCGCCTGCCAAGAAACCTGCGCCGGACCTTGCGAAAGTGCTGCCCCTGCCACGAACTCTGCACTTGACTTTCGTAAGGTCAGGCGCAGAATGCGCGGCGCGCGCAGCACTTGCGCAAGGTCAAGTGCAGAGTTCGTGGATAGATACATAAAGAGACAGAGAGAGACAGACAGAGAGAGTGAGCGAGCAGTAGCCGTTCAGACATGTAAGTAGATAGAAAGGTATGTAGATAGGTAGATGAGCGATAAAGAGAAATACAATAGGAGCTGGGAAGGAAAAAACCTAGAAAGTGGCTGGATAACAAGAGAAACCAAGAGAGATGAATGGATGGATCGATAGATAGAAAGAGAGGGGGATACATTGCAAGACAGATAGGTAGACAGATTATGGCAGATATCGATGGATGAATCCAGAGATGGGTAGATGGATTGATGGACAGATAGGAAAAGAGAGATATAGATAGACAGGTAGGTAGATAGATATATAGATAGATAGAGCGATCGATACACAGAGACAGATCATAGACAGATAGATCGATATGGATGGATGGACACATAGAAAGATAGAAAGATAGAGAGAGATATAGACAGATAGATCGATGGATAGCTAGAGCAGATACGTAGACAAGAAAGAAAGGAAGAAGCGCATGAAGATGTAGGTCGGTAGATAGACAGACAAGCAGATCGTTTAGGTAGCCAGCTGGTCGATTGGGGCATGGAAAGGATGGATCGGCGCATAGATAGACAGATACCTAGAGGGATAGATATACTGGAGAGATGATCAAGTAGTCCGACGGGTCACTAGATGTATCCCGAGTGCAGAGATACATAAGTAGCGAGATCATACAGGCGCGCTCGCGAGCAAAAGGGAAAGGAGCGCTTCTGGATTGACTTGCTGCCGAAAGAAAGGAAAGAAAGAAAACAAACGATCCGGAAAACAGGACAATGAGGAGAGGAAAGGAAAATGAGAATCAAGGTTGAGACTGAGGAGAAACAACATGCTGACAAAGGAAAATGGACGCAAAGAAAGAGACAAAGAAATGGAGAAACCGCAACATAAAACGGAGAGGGAAAGGAAAGAGGAAGCACAGAAAGACAGAGAGAAACAAAGAAGGAAATCAAGAAGCAGAAAGCCCGACCGGAAAAGACAAACATATGAAACAAACAAATGGGAAACAACAGAGACAATGAACGATGACCAGCAGCAAGAAGAGAAACAGAGTGAAGGAAAAGAAAAAGAAAGAGAACTATAGTTTCTTTATATGTCTGAAGCTTCCGCCCACCGGCTTCGCCGGCTCTACTGGTAGGAAGCCATGTTCCTTGGGGATTGGCCCATTGCAAAGAGGACGGCGCTCGATGCGATTCGAGGCGCTGCGCGCGCTCTGCAGCTCTTGGCGCAACTCACGGAGAAACGCGCGTGTTGCTAAAGCGTTCAGAAGCCCGGCGGGTTGCGCGTCGTGTTCCTTTTTGTTGTTGGAGACGGACCCCTTGAAAGTGATCACAGCCACTGGGTCGGAGGGCCCCACCCCCTTGCCCCAACCATCCCCGGTCCTGGCAGCCGCCACGTTGAGCCTGAATGGCGGTGCCTTGCTCATTCCAACATTACCAGACTAAGTCGCTGTTTTGGCCTCTTGGCTTTCTCAACTGTATCTTTGGGCAAAGTTAACTTTTTGGAAGGGGGCTCAGCTTGGCCAAGAGAAACAGACCTTGTGGTGAACCTGTTGGAGGCAGAAGGGCACGCAGCGTCGCGTGTGTTTCCATGTTGGTGGGTGGGGGATGTTATGGCCAGCTCCCATGGGGGTGAAGCGAGCTCACCATGATGTAGGTTTTCTTGAATATCCCGATCCCTCACTCCAGGATTGGCAGATATTGTTGGGCGCTGTGACACGATATTGCGTGATTGTTAAAGAAGGACAGGCACGCCGCGAATGAAGAAAGTACTGCTGGCTGCTTCATGAGTGTGTGACTGCTCACCAGTGCTCCAGCCTGCCCTGGCTCCAAACCGGCCAGATTTGCCCGTGGCTTGGCCATGCCATGCTCAGAAGCAAGACCCAGAATGTTTAAATGTAACAAGTGCGGAACAGACACATTTCACCCATTCTCAACATCCTCCTGCTAGTTGTGGGTGTCCGCTTCGGGTCGGGGAACCATTCAACAAGGGGGGTCAGTGCAGAGGATTCCCTGTTTCCACCAACACAATTGGGAACACATCCTTTTTATCACCTTGGTCCCATTTAGGCATAGAAATGACTGTGCCGCGCGTTCCTTCCAAGGGCATCACGCCACCCGCGGGAGTCGCGCGAAACGGCCATTCCCATGGCGGACAGCGACACGGAATTGGCCAAAGACGAGGAGAGCGATGAGGCGCTGGATGCACGGCCGAGCCTCAGACGCAAGAACCTCTAGCCTTTGGGGCTGCTTATGGATGGAAGCCTTGAACTGTGTGTCCATTGAAAAGACTTTTTGTCCGAGAAGGACTCCTTTATACCTGAATCTTTTTCGGACCCATTTGTTTGACACCCAATACGTTGGTTTGTTTGCAAAACATGGAATCGTGTTGTTGTTCCATTGGCAGACTCAGCTAGCCCTTTGCCCTCTTGCTCTTTCGAGTTTCCTTGACCCCAGCATGCATCAAGATGCCCGACCAATCCAAGCAGTTGCTTCCTTTTTGGGCTAACCATTTCATGTTAAAACACGCTTCACTGAACCCCCCCCCCCCAGTTTCTCCGTGGCCTCCGGAAATCCCTGCTCTTGTTTGGTAGCTTCGCTGAACTACTGGTTGCGACTGGTTCCGAAAGTCCCTTTTTTTTCTGGTTTTTCCTGGCCATCAACCACGCACAGGATGCAAGATTTGTTAGCGGGATCCTTGAACATCTACCAAGAACAGGGTGCATCAACTACCCCAACAAAACCAACACCCCCCTGCCCCCACAACGTCTTGCTCCCGACGCCAGCCAACATCAGCTACAGCCCCTTTCTCCAATTGAATTCATAGGTTGCCACCGGGCCCCAAGAAAAGCATGGGCCATTCAAGCTGAAGATGTTCCTTTCTCACTATTTGCGGGTGTCGGGTTGAAAACAGCTACCAAGAAAAGGGCGTAGAATTCCAAATAAAGATCTACTCCCTGCTGGCAAGCTGCACTTGAGTTACTCTGCCCCAACAATGATCAAGGGGACAAGCGGGGTCAGCTAGTGCCTCCAACTTCCCCTCCCACCCCAACCCAGGTCTTGCGACCGAGCGCCTTCGCCGGATCGAGCCGAGGAAGTGGGAGCTGACGCCTCGGCAGCAGCTGCGGGTGGCCCAGTTCCGGCGCCTCAAAGGCAACGCGCAGCTCCGGGAGAAGCGGCCCCAGGAGGCGCGGAAGTTTCGCGGCTTCCGAACCCGGGGGGAGACAGACGCTGCCCACATGGATGCTCTGGATATGTTGGGGATTTGGACAGTGTTCTCTCTAAGTGAAGGAAGCCAAAGAAAAGCCCACTCTTTTTGCTTCAGTGGAGACCTTGATGCCCTTCTTGAGATAATCCAAAAGTGGCCCACCCATCTTATGCCCGCAATGAACATCAGGCCTTCACCTTCTACAAGAACGCCTTGTTCATGGTGGAGTTCGATGAGGCCGGGCTCGTCGAGTTTGGTCGGGCAAGGGGGCTCGCCCAAGACTTGTTGGCCATCCTGTAGCCTTGGTCTTTTCATGTTTTGGAAGGCGTACCAGGGACTTCCAACAAAGGGTGTCCTACTGGAGGTTTGGTCTGGCCTGCATTTTTGCTGAGCAACCCTTTCGCGTTAGGTAGAGGGGCCTCGAAATTTGGGTATGTAAAACACACGCAAGACAGCACTGAACAATGAATTCAAAGAGAACTGAGTTGACTTAAATATGCCTATCCCTGTTGCAATTTTGCTTTGTTGGGCTGCCTTCATATTTTCTTGGCCATTTGCAGGAGGGTCGGATCAGCCTTCTCCAAGATTCACTTTGACTATAGAGTCATGGAGCCCTTACCACTAAAGTCTGGCCAAGAAACTTGAACATCAACCTGCAGAAGGATTCGAGGGCCCTTGTTTAATGGAAATCCACAGGTCCAGGAATTGAACAGTTGAACTACTTGTGTCATGTCTCTCGGTTAGGGTTTCCGTGCTTTGGGTCTGCCAAAGCTGTGTCGACTTAAATGGCTTTCGGACATCCTGTACGAGTCGGTAGCAGGTTAGTCCCGCTATTCCCTAGTAGGATTCATTCATGCGATTCACTGTGGGCGAAGGTCAAACAAACTGAGAGAGCCGCAGCAGCATGCCGAGCACATTCGTCATTTGGTTGGTTGGTGCATGGCATTCTGTATGGCAAACTGTTTTGTGGCAAACTTTTTGCATGTAGGGGGCGTTCCCCTCGAAAATCGGCTAATAAACAGGTTTCTACTTCCATGCGGGGTCAACATCAGTTTGTCAACAGGTTCTCAGGATATGCGCAAACAGTCTGCTCAGCCTGTCGGCCGAACGCGACGCGCGAGGACTTTGAAGAGGCGGACGTAGCGCTGGAGGAGGTGCACGCCGAGCGCGTGAAGTGCAGCTCGGGACGAGTTTAGTTGATGGGCGAGCAGGCCTATGGGAATTCTTTGGAGCCCCCCCCCCCCCCTTGACACATGAGCAGCGCCAGAAACCCTGACAATACAAAGTAGTAAAGGGGGGTGTCCTATAGAATCCCCGTGAAAGCCAAAACGCAGGCCGCGAAAGCTTGCGAAAGCTTATCGCGAAAGTAACCAAAGTAAGTCCCGCCGCGAAAGACCCGCGAAAGCCTGCATGCTGTGTGACGCTCCGCGCGAAAGCGTCGCGAAAGCAATTCTAAAGAAACCAAAGCCCGCGAACGCAAAACATGGGGTCGCGAAAGCATCGCGAAAGGGTCCGCGAAAGCAAGTTTATAGGACCGCTTTTTACACAAGAGTATTTGGCACGGCTCACATGGTTGAAAGAGACACTGGAAATCCACGTCGAATCCCTGTAAGATGGGCACCCTGCATGATCCGGACACCCGGCCAGCCCAAACCTACTTCTCAAACAAGCGTGTCATAGCCCAGTAGGACTCCATTGTAAGTTTGGCATGCGCATCTCAAGGGCACAACCAAAAGTGCCCCCAACCACGCATCCTCTTCGCACGTGTGGTCTGCAAGCACACATTGGCTCATATTTGGGTGAAGTAATGCACGGAAAAGCACGTAGCAGCAGGGGTGGGTCGTTTTTTTAAAAGAGATGGTTTTCCTGTTGGCGTCCCTTTGAAACCACCACAAAAATGGGGATAGGACCAGCTTGAAAGAGGGGTTCCCATTGCCAAGTGTTGTTTTACTCACTCGGGTCGGTGGGGCTGTGGACCTGGCGGTTGTCGACATCTGGCTGCGGGTCAAAACCAATGGTACCATTTTGGGGTAGGTGCACCAGTCGATTTTAGTGGGGATTGGGATGTTCACTGGGGCTACGGGCTTCTGACCCATGGCCATCTCAGGCTTGGCCAACCTGGCCGCTGCCGCGCTCTCTGCGCTGGCCGAGACGGGCGACAACCCCAGCGAAGACAACTTCGCAGGCGGCCCAGCCGCCTTGCGTCCGTCGTCGTTTGACCGATTGTTTTGCCTTTGTTGATTTAGTCGAGCCCCAGTTCAGGATTTAGCTCAGTTGCAAGTCCTGTACACCCGAAGTTCTCTGAAGTCGAAGTTGTGTCAATTTCCTGTGGAAGTCTGTTCGGACCACTTCAGGGCTCCCATTCAGTGCGTATTGCACGGACATGACACGACCGGTTCTGGGCCATCTCCCGTTCTGTGTGAGATGCTTGTGGTTTGCTCGCTATCAACTGAAAATGGTTCAAGGGGTCCAGATTGGTAGGAATCCTTTTCGGATTGCTCCAATTGGTGGGGGATTGTGGGAGCTGGCGATTTCACATTTCATTGTTCGGTAGCACTGAACCAGTTGTTTGCTTGGCAAAAGCAAACGCTGAGGTTGCTTTGATGATGCAGGCCTTACTTTCATGTTTTCTTGTTTCACGCAAGATAGTATTGCCAACGTCTATTGTTTGCTCCTAGGAGCCTCTTCTTGTGAGCAACCTGGTTTGTTAACCACCTCCGCACGCCAGGCAAGGCAAAGAGATACTCGCAGAGAGCGCTCAAGCTGAACCCTGCAGACGCAAGGGTGTGGTCCCTTGGCTGGAGAAGACGAACAAGCATCCAAAGGGACTGACTGGGACCTTTCAATCATAAGAGGTTCCATATCAGAATGTTGCATCATAAGGTTTTTAGATGAGGGACCTTAGACACCGTGTTACATCTTAAGGTCCACTGATTATGCACCAACATCTCAGCATGCCGTTCTTAGGTGAGGGGGCAAGCTGACACAGCTTAGCGATGTTTCTCATTAATCTATCAATGGAGCTCCTCTATGTTCCAGAAGTTGTCTCCATTAAGTGTGTGTGAGTGTTTGTGTCTAACTGACAGGGGTAAATTAACCCACCGACTGGGGACTTAAAACCATGGCCTTGGCAGGTTACTACCATGTTTAACATCCACTGAATTGCCTGACTCGCCCATCGCTGCTTAGTACGGTGTTTCCATTAAGCCTAAAAGTCAATCACGACCTTTTGCTCAGAGGGCTTGGTGCAACCCTGCGACAATTTTAGTGGAGTTGGGACTTCACCTAATCTCACACGAGCTTCCCAAACCATCGCAACCAAGCCCAAGAAAACATGAAACAAAACCAAGCAAAACGCATTCCTGGTGGATTTTTAGGGGCTACCCGTCTATCGAACCAGGCGCGCCAGCCGTGGCGCGGCGTTTCGTCGCTGAGGTTCCGCCGAGGCCGCGCCGAGCTGCTGCTGGGCGACCCAGACGCGGCGCTGCGGAGCTTCGCGGAGGCCAACCGCCTCTCGCCCGGGGCTCAGCGTGCGGGTGACGGCCGGGTGGGGGCTGGGTCGCGGTGAGGCTCCCGCAAGATGACCAGAGCCTTGGAGGCTAGCAAAGGGGTTTGCCTGGGTGTTCCTTTTGCAGAGACCTTGGGGCAACCCTGATCAGCAGAACAAGGGATTGTGGACGGTGGTTGGTTGGAGGCGTGCCAAAGCACTCAACAAATACCGATCCATGAGCCAAGGAGGCGCGCATCTTCGGGCCTTTTTGGTTGTCACCGGACCGACCAAGGCCGCAAGACCCCGAAGTGCGGAGGTGCTTGCAGGAGGTGCGGTGCCTGAAAGGTGTGCCGAGGGGTGTGTGAGGTCCCGCAGCTCCCAGGATTTTCTGGGGCACATGATGATTGAACGGTTGTCTGGTCCCTTGCACCTGACGGAGGATTTACAGAAGCCGAATGTCATTTCCGGATTTTGTGGATGTAAAAGGAGTTCAAACTTTCAGCTTCCTATTCCTGTTTCTTTCTAAAGGGAACCGATGTCAGCCCAGGGACTTGAGAAAATGGAGGTCAACGCTTTGTTTTCTGCATCTCCAGCTTGCTTGGCTGCAGGTGAGCACAGCATTGGAGCAGATGAACCCTTCTGAGTTTGCTTGTGCTTGCGCTTCTGTTTGTTCACCAGGACGTTCTGGACAAGGGGGATGGGCACACCACGTGGCTGCTGACCTGCCTCCAAGACCCATTCCACGAAGCGCGGCTTGCAGGCCGAAGATCTGGCAGTGGTCTCGGGTGCGCACCTGAAGTGGCGAGAGAAGATGTCGTGCGACGACGACCGCCTGGCCACAGTTCCTGAAAAACACGGCCAAACAAGGGCCAGCCGCAGAAGAGACGTCCGAGGACGAGCTGTGCGCCACACGCCCTTCTCTTTGCCACACGCGTTTCTTTATGTAAGTTCTCAGGCACAGCTCAGCAACGGCGCTTGTGTTGATGGCCAAAACCCAAAGTACAGTCCAAAAAACAATCATTGCTTTTGGCCCTATCGAAAGAAAACCCACAAAGTATTTTATTTTGCCAGGCGTTCTTGGTTGACCTAGCAGCTGGTTTGGGGGCTCGTTTCAAGTGAGACTGGCAGGAGTCCCTAGTCCCTTCACAAATTGACATGGAACCCAAAAAGGGTCCGATTCCCAAGTGGCTTCCTCTACAAATTCTAGTTTGGGTTCCATGGAGGTAGGGTTAACCTTTGAACTGGAGGTACAAGTGAGGATATGAATGACAGACCCACCGGATTTTTTCTGGAGCCGTCCCTCAAAGCTGCCCCAAACCACCCCATAGCCTATCTGCGCCTATCTGGGCAGAAACCTCAAAGCTTTAAGATGGTGGGGAAACACAACTAGGCCCCTCCCCCACCAACTGCTTTTCGCGTCTTACGGCCTCCCACCCCCCCCCCCCCCCACCGTCTCAAGCGCGTCGCGTCTCGTCGCGTCGAGGTGCAGGCGACGGTGCAGAGCGCCAGAACCGCGCAGCGCCAAGTGGAGCGCACCATGGCCAAGGCGATCCGACTCGGAGCGCGCTCGGCGATCCGACCACTCCGCTGGGCGCTGGATATCTTCTCTAAGACGCGGTGTTACATAAGATATGTATATATATATATATATATGTACACATATGTACACAGAATCATGCGTATATGTATGTGTGTGTATAGAGTTATTTATAAAGATGGAACGGAGTGACTTTGGCTTTGATTGTGATGCAGCAGGGTCAGAAAGTTGACTTGTCTCTGCATCCCAGATGTGGGCCAAGTTGGGGAAGTGCCTGGATAGCCAAGTTGCGCTTTCTGTTCCCAAGGCACGTTGCCCTAAAAACAATCACAGCTGTCGGAGACAAAGCAGCAACTGGCGATCACCATGGATGGGGCCCCGGCAATCACCGAGAAACGCGGCACTGGCGATCTAGGTGCTGCCCATCCCCAGTGATGAATTCAGGCCCCCAAAGTGGGACTTCATTTGGGATAGCAATCACTTACTAAGCGGGGTGGCCCCCCCACCGACCCATTGGCCCTGTTGGCTTGTGCTGCTTCTCAGTAGGGAAATCAGTTTTGGGGTTTTGGGAAGTGACCGGAGGGGGATCCGCAACGAAGCCATAAGGCACGCTAACCAACAAGCGTTGCTAGAGGATGGCTTCATGTGTTTCAGTCAGATTCGATTTTAGGGGCTACATCATGTCACATAGTTCTCTTTTGACAACGGCTAACTTTAGATTCAAAGTACCCTCATGGGTGCCAAATAGCCCAGCAAAAAAAGGCAAACAGAGGTGGGTAGTTTGCGTTGTTGTTTTTGAGACTCTGCGTTTGAACGTTCAGGTCAATCCGGAGAACCGTGCTAGTCAGGGGCAGTCACGGCCTAGGCTGCTTGAATCCATGACAAGTTGCAGACTGTGGCTGCTGCCTAGTGGGGAAATGAATCATTAGAGCGGACTCCTCTGATGAATCCAAACTTGATGTTTAATCTAGTTGCGCAGTGGATTCACCCTTCAAATCCCGTTTTGGTGTGGTCCCGGTGATTTATGGAATTTGTAGGGGGGATAAGGAGCGCTGGGGAAAGGGTTCTCCACTACATGCCTTAGAGACTCCATCATCGAAGCCCAACACATGATTCTTCTGCACAAGGGCCGCTGAACAAAAGGATCAAGCATGTTGCCACCATAAATCGCCTTTAAGAAACCACCGTCACAAAGGATTCCGAAAGCACTAAACACGGACTTAGCCACTCAACATGAAGAAAATGAAAATCAACCAACCAACATATTCAACCACATCAATGAATCAAGCAAAATTCCTTTCATGGTTAGCAACAACAAATATGTAACAAAAGAAGTGGCAGCAAGCAACAGGTAACCAGAATCAATCAACAACAACTAGTCAGGACATGCAGCAAAATACTTCCCCAGAATGAGCTCCCCCTTTTCCTTGTGTGCTTTTTTGGGGTCCCCTTTGATATCCACTAACCTGGCAAAAAAGATATATATATATATATATATATATTTGCTGGGGTCCCTTTTTTCCAGCCTAGAATACCGGGTTCCGCATATCTTTCTCTCGCCCCGCCGGTTGCAGCTTCAGGCGGCCGTGGCAGAAGCGCCGAAAGCTGCGGCCAAGCCCGCGGCGCCGCGACTTGGCTTCAGCCCGAAAGTGCCAGCTCACTCCAGTCGGAGGCTCGATATATATATATATAGAATCACTGGCTGGTTTGCCTGATGAGTAGGATAAGTTTCTGCGGGGACAGTGGCTGCACTGATTCGCTTGCGGGCACCCTTTGAAGCGTTTCGGTTTGAAGGGAAATGAGGGCGTTGGGGTTTCGGTTTGCAGGGAACCCCAAGAAGACTGTAAAATGGGCATGTGCCATGGACCATGTAGGGACGCTTTTAATTGGCAGCTTGCCTCACCCTAAGCACCGCAACCTCTCCTAGGTCCCCCCCAGCTAGGCGCCCGTTCTCCACCCCTTTTTTGGGGGAGGATTCCTCACTAAAATAGACTGCAGAAAAAAGGGTACGCTTGTTCTAGCCTCTCTACTGGAGGACCTAGTAGGCCACCCTTTGAAAGCTGGGGTTCAAAGGGAAACTAAAAAAACGCGGCCATTTTGGGAGGGTCGCCTATGTTGAGACCCACCCAGGTACTGAAATGAAAAGTTTGTTTTCTCCTGTGAGTTTTTAAAGGGATGCTATCACCGGGAACTGCTTTGGTTTTAGGGGACTGAAGCAAACATATGTTCCTGTGATTTGGCGGGGACAGCCCATGGCAATGTTGGAAAAGTGTATGAGCCTTCCGATGGAACCCAAAAGGGCGCCCTCAAGAGAAGGAACCACTCCCACCAATGTCCCTTCTAGCAGGATGTCTCCAAGGGCTCCTTAGGAGTCTCCTTGGGCCGTTGCCAATCGACCCTTGTGACCATAGACTTGCTTGCCCAAAGCGACTGACCGGATCTGACCTTTTGGTTTTCCCGTTTCGGGGTTCTATTTTTTGCCGGGCGCAAGTGAGCAGATACTCCATAAAGTGTGTGGACTGGCTATGTGCTGCTCTCCTAGCGTAGCCTGAAATGCCAGCTGGGGACTAGTATCCCACTTTTGGTGTCTACCAAAAAGGAAGAGTAGTACGGTGAAGTGTGCGCAGGCCTGTATTAAAAGCCAAAAGTCTTTGCTTGATATGGCCATGCGGGCTACAAAAACAGATGCTTTGCCTTGGGCTAGTGAGGTTCCAGGCTGCTTTGGCTCCCTTTTAGGAGCCCACGTTTGGGTGCAGCAACCCAACTCAGACGAAACGTCCTGGATGTAATTTCACTCGCGTGGGTCATTTTCGGTTGTGTATGGCTGACGGAAGATGTCCCTGGTGTCCCAGAGACTCCGAGTGGCCCATGACCCAGGATGTGTAGCTCGGGAGTGGGCAGTGGATGCTACGCTTCAAGGAAGTGGTTTGGGTGTCTGCGCCATAGGGGGGGGGCTCTGGGCCAAAGCGAAAAGCTGTCCTTCGCAGATGTCGTGTGTTTCATGTTGCTTTCAGCACGCGCTTAAGTTGTTTGATCCAATGCACCGGGCGCGCCTCTTTTCCAAAACGCACCTTCAGACCCGCCAGACTCTGACGTGTCTAAGCTGAGGACGGAGGCCAAGCCGCCAAAGTCGCCAGAGGACGGGAGTGAAGGGAAGTTCTACAGTTGATTTCCCAGAAGCTAAGAAATCAGCGACAGGAAATCCTGGAGGATGCTAGCCCGCATCTCTAGAGTGTTGTTTTGTTTTAATGAATTGTTGTTGTTGTTTTTGGGGGGGCGGTTTTGGGGCAAGCTTTCTGCAGAATGTCCGCTGCTTGGTTTCTCTGACAAGCTGCCCTCCAAATCAAAACGTTCGCAAATGAAAATCTGGGAAGGCGACTTTCAAGTTGGATCGTTGAACGATATTTCCCCGGGACACGAATTCGAAGGGAACAGTACACACTACAAGCGGCATCTTGGCTATTTGCCCAACACGACGCATAGACGGGGTACCTGGTGGCTGTGGGTCCGTCATAGGCGGTCTCTTGGAATCACTCGCGCAAAATGACCAGGGGCTATGACTGGATAAGTCAAGGATAAGCCCTTAACTCACTCCCTGAGTTCCTGGACGGACTTGAAGCTTTTGGGAAGACCATTTCATGGTGACCAACAAGTTTGGACTGTGTTTCGCCCATCAACTCAGGAAGTGAGTTGAGTAAAGGTCCTTTTTATGCTCCCCACGGCCCCCCCACTTCCCACTTGGTGGCTCGCATTGGTGGCCACCAACGGTTGCTGACCCAGGAGCGCGCCGCAGAGATCGAGTACAACAAGCGCCAGCTCCTGTACCACGTCGAAAAGGCCAAAGTGAAGCCTCAGAGCGACAGCGAGGACGAACAACAAGCAGGGTGCAGGGGAGGGGGGAGGGGGGGGGAATTCTGATGTGCTCTTAGCTTCTTTTTTCAAGGGGGCTGCAACAAAAGCCTCAAACTGAAGACCCTATATACAGACTGTAAAGGGGGAGAGGGGAGGCATGTGCCATGGACAATATTCAAGGCACCCCAAACCCATTCACCATGCCTGCGTTTCTGTCTCCACCATGTGGAGAATAAGATGCCCTTTCTTCCACAAGCACACTGTAAATTCCAACATGTCAGAAGTGATGGCCACCCTTCTTCCAGCATTCTGGGTCAATCAGCATTTACCAACCTGAGAACATGCAAAAGGAGCCGGACCCTCATGGGTGAGGCCTTGGGTGAGGCTGCAGTGGCAAACATCATCAGATTCCCCGGGGCGAGAGCGGAGAACTGGGGCCTTTCCTTCTGCCAGGGACCAACGGCATGTGTCTTTGGTTAGAATGCTATTTCTGTTGGTTTCTTTTTGAAACCAAGCAACAGGGAGTCCCTCAAAAAATGACAGAACCAACTGTTTGTGCGTGTCTAGCCTTGAGGCCTGTCCGTGGTATGTGTCGCGACTGTCTGCCAGATCGAGCCATGCAGACTGAAACAGCAACTCGCACGCATGAGCGCACGGTGGTCTCCAAGTTGACGAAAGATGGACCAGAATCCAAACATGTTTTGGTGTACCCGGACCAGAGTTGGGCCCGCACACCCTTTCAGGGGGTCGCTATCAGACTTGTTGTTTTGCACGGCACATGCAACATGTCATATTCGGCGAACCACTGGTCCAAGATTGGGGTCCGATTCTGTGTGTGTGTGTGGGTGTCTCACATGGATGCCCGAAAGCCTGCCTTTCTGCGGAGTCTTCTCGTCCATCCCGCATTTGGTCGCTGAACTGGGCCATGCCGCGACAAGAAATCTGACTTCACACCAATTGGCGAGTGCCCACGAAAACAATCCGCTGCAGCGCGCGCAATGCAGCCATGGCTGGTTTGGCAGTTCCTGTCGGAGCCTCAGCCCTGAGCAGGCGGTGTCGATGTGCTACTTATAGGGGCGGGGGACTTGGTAAGTGGTTAGTAACGATGGTTATAACCCACTTACCATGTTCATAAGTCTCCTAACTGGGTCATAACCATAGTTACCAACCACTTACTAAGCACCCTGCCCCTTTAAGTAGGAGCCCAAGACCTTATTGGAGGGCTTTGGGGGTGAAAGGCTCTCATATTCAGGATCTTGGGCTGGGGGTGTTTCTCTCAAACCCAGTGCCTAATGATTGGCCTAGTGGGTCACCTTGGTAAAGTTTGGAGGCCAGGGCTTTTGTTAGCTTCACTCGCTAAGAATCGGCCTTTCGAATTAGGGTGTTGTGGACTGCGCCAATCATGTGTTCAATGGCTTAGGATGTTTCCGGCATGTTGGTCCGAAGAAGGGGCCGCTGATTTCAGCTTGCGGGGAGGTGCCTCTTTCCATTGAATTAAATCGCCCCGGGTAGAATCCTTTTCTGAATCAAGTTGTCCTAGGTGGAATTAATGAAGTACACCGGAAATGGCGCTCGAGCTCACCGATGGGCACAGGAGTGTGCAAACGAACGCGCAGCAAGGCCCATACCAGAGCACCGAGACTTCAACTTTTTCTGCAAACATGTGTTTCCCTCCTCTAAACATCAAACTTGAATGTTTTTGCACCAGGTTTAAGGCGCGCCATCCAGCTATTTTCTTTGGTGCATTTTGCCAAGGGATGTTAGGACTGAACAACTTTTTGCCAACTAATGGGTTTTCCGTATTAAACCACTAAAAGTTAGTCACTTGTAGCGCAGCAGAAAGCAGCCGAGTCTTGGTGTAAGGATCACGGGTTCGACGTTCGCCCTCCCAGACGAGCGTCGATCGGACTCGACGAGCGTCAGGCCTCGGAGTTCCGGGCGCGGAAGCAGCAGATCCTCGCCTCGCTGGACCGCAGTACCGGGGCTCGGCTCGTTTCGGCGGGCGGCGAAAAACATTTTTTCGGCGGGCGGGGAGTCGAATCGGTAGGTGAAGCTCAGGGATCTCAGGGAGTGCAGGGAATGGTTGCGAAATCCGTCCAAGTGTAGTGGTTTCCTCTGGTTTCGCCCAATCTCCCCTACTGTGGATGGACGAAATTCATTTGGCCGTGGGTCAAAACCACTGGTGCCATTTTGGGGTAGGTGCACCACCAATTTTCGGCTGTTTTAGTGGGGATTGGGATGTTCACTGGGGGTACGATTTGGATTTTGACCCATGGCCATTTCGCACCTCTAAGAAGCCCGGGCGTGAGTTGATGTTTGGAGTGTGGTTTCAAAGTGGTGCGAATGGATTTCGTCCATCCATAGTATGGCTGGTTTCTGAGAAGAGCGGTGGAATTGGACGAAATTCAGGAACGGTCTACAAGGTTTACACGTTCCTTTCCCAATGCTTTTTGAGGAGACAACGCCAGAAGAGTTGTTTCTTGGCTTTAGACACGGTGTTGCCTTTTTGGTTATCCTTGTCCCTTTCAACCGGCAAGCAGCTCGCTTTTTCTCAGGGAGGTTTAAAACTGTTGCCCAGTGCCAGTTCATTTGCCCAAGCAACTGGAGGCCAAATATGCAACCGGAATCTGAAGATATGGTTTTGCTGTGTGCGGGTGAAGGTTGCGTCATCTCACTCCCTGAGTCTCTGAGTTCCGGGACTACACATGTTGGGGAACCAATCCACTGGATCGGAAGGCGGAAGCGAAATCCCGGGTGTTTTTGGGCAACGCATCCTATTCTTACCTCTTAAAAACACAACTGTTCTCAACTTTTTGGGCGTGGGCTATATGTCTGTAAAAGATTAACTTCTCCAGGGCTTGGAGTTTTAAGGGTTAAGTCTTTAGACTTTAACGTTTTAGGGGAATCAAGGGTTTTTCCATTAAACCCGCAAAAAGTTAGGCTTTTTTGCAGAGGGGTCAACAGCAACCAAGAGGTGAGGCTCTTTTTCACAGGATCCCAGATGTCGACCCTTGAGAACGGAGCCCAAGATCTTCCCCCACCCTGCCCCCGATCTGCACAATGCTGCGATGTGCCTAAGGCCCCAAGGGCTCGCTGGATGCTCCAATCGCCTGGGTCTCAAAGCGCGCTTCATGGTCCAATCCAATGCGGCAACAATTAGAAAGTAAGACACATTTGCTGGAGACTCATTTTCCCCAGGTGTGAATGGGAATCCATCACTACCGGAAATGCAGTGTGTTTATGTTTCCAGGGGGCTTAAGCAAATGGTTTCCTTTTCTGCCTCAATCCTTTGCAAACCGGTATCTGAGTGGGAACCAGCAAGCAGATGTGAAGTGAATTGGGTTGGAGTCCAATTTCGCCTGACCAGGAATCTCACCTCTCAGGGGCCAATCCACTCACAGCCTTTCGGCTCGAAAAGACGGCCCATTCCTATGTGCGGAACCCCAAACTGAGAGTAAGCCATCCTCAAGATCAACGAGTGGGTTCGGTTATTTTTTAGGGAACACACTTACTGGGTGAAAACCGACCAGAAACCAAGACCCACCTGGAACCTGAAATAACCATTTACAATTGGCTTCCCCATTGTCCATTGAGCAGGTCAGGTCAATTCAGAACCGGAAATTGTGGTTTGGGAACCGTTTCTGCACGGCAATGTGGGTGCCTCTTTTTTTCCCCCTTTCTTGTGGCTTTAAAGCAAGTTCCAAAAGGAACGCCAAGAACCCCCATTTTGGGGGTCCGTGAAAAATAAGACACCCCCAAATGGTGGTTTCGGTTCCTGCCAGCTGTTCTTTTAATGGATCCCTGCCTTGGATCTTGTTCGAGTCGATATCCGAGCTTTTGGATTAGTACCTTTGAGGTTTCTTCCATTTGCTTAAGCGTCTGTGTTGATGTTCTCCTGTTGGTTTTAACTACAAGGAATCTATCAACACTGGAAAAACTTGTGTTGCTTCCAGGATTAAGCAAATAGAAGTCATAGTCCATGTTTGAAAGCTGTTGGAACAGGGCGGTTTGCTTCACGTCTTGGATACCAGGGAACCCCCTACCAAAGAGTTTCTAGTTGCAAAGGTCTACTCCCGCAACCTGCAACACGAGACACATGACTTCCATTTGCGTTTCAGAATATGCTGTAATTTTCACCTATTGATGGTCAAGGGAGCATTCCCCCTGCGAAAATGGACGAGTAGGGCGCCCTCCAGCCCCAGAAACGTTCCTTCTGAAGCTTGCCTCGGGGGTGGTGAGGAGTGGTGATGTGGGAGGGGGGAGCCCTTGAATTTCTCAGCTGCATTGCTTATTGCGAGGTCCTTTCGATGCAAGTTGGGCAGCCATTTCTCGCATTTAGTCACTTTTTCGGAAGACCATTGTAGTAACCAGCAAGTTGTTTGGACTGTTTTTGCAATTCCAATCATGAAGTGATATTTTTTGGATTTCGCCACTGGTTTGGCCGAAGAGCCTTGGCCCAACGGAACACCATATTCCGCAACGGGGTGCTCGATCAGAGATTGAGCTTGTTGACGTTTATTTCCAAATGTCGCTCTTTGCCCAGCCCGAAAGACAAAAATCCCTCAGTTGCCCAGTGGTGCCCTGTTTTACTTTTTTTTGGGAAGGTACCCCTTAAAAGTCAACCAACACGCCGATTCTTTTTTCCCGTGGAAATGCACTGGGCATCTGATAATTTTTCCCAAGTTTTCTCTTTGGCCCAACAGGTGCGCATTGTTGAGCTCCGCCGTTGCAAAGAAGGGGGACAACTCGGGGGGTGTTTCAGCAGCAAAGCGCTCTAATCAAGCGCTATGGTTCGAACTCTCTCGGGCTTGACTGATCGACTGATCTGATCTGTTCATTTCAACCAATTCTGAGGTCGACTTTTTGGAGTGGCTGAACCAGCAGGAATCAGCCAGATTCCGAGAGTCCCAGCAGTCCCTTACCAGTGGATTGAGGGGCCTTTATCCTTCTTCGTTTGCTGAGGGCCATTAGAAATTGCTTTCCAACCCCAGAAAGCGTTCGAAGTTTCTACCACGGTCACTGAACAGTTGGGTGTTGACGTTTGCCCGTTTCATCTTCTGGAAAGCGCCCGGCTTCAAGACCCACCCCTGTGACACTTTCAGAAGCGGTTCAATAATTCAGTTGGAAGCCGCCAGTGGACCCATTGATCAACTTATTCGAAGCTGTTTCCGCGACACGTTGTCTCAAAGGAACTGAGGAACCTGGAACAGCTCACAGTGGATCTGCGAAGAGCAAGTGAGCCACGATCAACATTTAGTTCCGGTTTTCCTAGTTTGGTCTATTTTTGGTTATGGCCCCAACAGGTGGCAAAGAACATAGCCTTTGAGTAGAAGTACATGCACCAAGTTTCAGAAAATGGTGGCTACTCATCAAAAGCGAGTAATACAAGGACTGTTGGCTCAAATTAGCTTGCTCTTGAATGGTTCTCCAGCGAACGCGCGGGGGGTCATGCTCACGGGAGGGAGGGTGCAACCTGCAATACTCGGTGAAGAAACCGAAGCCCGCGATTGGTTTGGACGTCCCTGAAAGGTTCAACACGGACTATGCAAAGACCCAGATCGAAACCTCCCGTTGCTTAAGAATATGCTTGATTGACACCTGCTGGTTTTGGAGGAAATCGATCACTAGAAAAACATCGGGGGCTGCAAATGGTATCGTCCTGGCGCACGAGAGTTACGCACATAGGTGTCCTTTTTAGGTGAGTTTGGTTAAACATAGATGGGTTCCACTGGTTAGATGGGGTTTATTCCATTTACCAGGGAAACCCATCTATTTTTCCAAAAGGCCACCCCTGGTTGGGCACCCTCTTTTCAGAGGCGTCGGTTCACTCGCGAGTTCCGAACCCTACGCAAAAGTTGCTGGGAGGCTCTGTCAGCTTAGGAGTACTTGGTTAAGCTGCTGCGCTTCCTTCACACACTGGCGGGCGTGGTTCCATTTTTTGGGTTTCGGCCCTCCTGAAAAGAATGTCCATGGGGCTAAGCTGCAAATCACTCGGCTGATTAGCCCCGCAAAGCAAGCTGGCGGGGCTTGGGATTTGAGTTTGTGCCCTGTGAAGCACGGGCTCAAACGGTTTTGCGGCAGCGCGATGGCGACTTCTTCCCAGAAAGGACTGCAGCTTTGGCGAGTGACGGCGGCCGAGCCTTTTTGATTGAGCGCGTTGGCGCTTTTCGATTTCTGTTTGTTCCACACTGCTCCGATCGACTTCAGACATAGTTGGTGCATATGAGGCGTGCAAAACATGCTGCAAGATGTTGCAAGTCAGGCAGGGTGGGTAGTTGAGAGCTCATTTCGGGATCCTCGTGCTTCCGAAACGGCTTCCTTAGGCTTCGCCGTTCCCCCCCCGGGAGATGCACCACTCCCGGCCAGCGGCAGTTTTTACCCGGAATTTGTTTGCTTGGCTGCTAGTTGCTGGGAACTTCGGGCCCTTGATGTTTACACCCTGTCCCGCCCCTGGTTTCATCTTTTGCTTGCAGGGGGTGTCCCTTTAAAATCAAACACCCAAAATGGCGCTGTGCCTTTGTTTCATCCCCGTGGCCTCTGGGGCTCTGGGAAGGTAAGCATGTAGCGGAGAGAGCGGCAGCTCAGGTTGACAAAGCTAACTGGCGCCTTCCATGTGCGTGTCAGAATGTTTTTGCATTTGTCCTTGTTGGTGTCTAGAGGGAATGTATCCGGTTGGACATATGCTTCTTTGTTGCCCAGTGGGTTGCTTCCATTTTGTCAACTTGGTTCCGATTCCTTTAAAGTCAACCAACCAAGAAGGGTGCCGATTCGTTTGCCCACGAAAATCCACTGGGCATCTGAGGCTCGCATTCTTTTTCGGGGATGTATCCGCGGTTGCGAGGAGCGCCCGTCATCGTCCTGCTGGGACCAGTGGGTGTGGGGAAGAGCCTCTTGGCCACGGCCTTGGCGGGGCTCCAGCAGAGCAACGAGGTTTTTAAGGCACGGCCCCCGGCCCCCGGCCCCGAGCGCGCCAAGCCTTGAGCTTGGCGAAGCCAGCCATCCCCTTACCCTGGGGTTCAGTTGCCAGCATTATAACCATGGGGGTTCAGTTGCCACCACCATTTACCTAAGGATGGTCATTCTCTAAATTGGGCCGTTGCCTTTGCTTTGGGGGTTGAACCTCAGGGCTTAGCTTTTTAGCCTTTTGGTGTGGTAGTTTCGATGTAACCCACGAAAAGTTAGTCACTTTTAGCGGGGAGAGACTAGAAAGACACCAACTAAAAGATGTCACGCCGTCAACCGACCGTCATGTCAAAGTGTCAAACCACACATTTGCAAGCTCGTCCTGATGACGGGGTGGGTGTGGGGGGGTGTGGGGGGTTCGGGAATGGTAGCTTGCCCTGTCCACCTGCCCCCTCCGTTTGCATTGTTCCCGTTTTACCGCACTGCGCTGCTTCGCGCACACTAGGGTTGGCAACTCTCAAGGTCGAGGATCACCGTACATTCCCCAGCGTTTGCGTGCGCCGTGTCGCTTCTTCAGAGCAGCGCGCGCACTTTCCTGCACCTGCCCCACTTTGTAATTAAAGGTCTTCCATTTCGTTCTGGGTTTGCTCTTTCAGTTTTGCATGAGCCCACTCTGGAACATCCACGGCCAGCCCATCATCCGACACACCGCTTTGCAGGTCCACAAACTTCTGCTGGAGTACAAGGGCAAGCAGTCTCTTTCTTCTTCTTTCGCTACACTCATCTCCCATGTTGCCACATCTTTTTCCCGTGCAGCGATGGCTTCATATAGCCGGATGTAGCCCCCAAATAGACGCAACATTCTCTGACCTTGACGCTCTTCCCCTGCCATCCCCGCATCTGAGCTGCAGCTGGGTGGCAACAGGATTCTACGCGATGGTCAGGAGAGCTGCAGACACTGCACGGCGCCCCCTTTCCTTGCCTCTACTGGATCCTTTCTTGGGTTGCATGACTGCCTCAAACGCCAAGATGTTCAGCTCGTGCTGTTGTGTGGGCCCCTCATTTTTTGTAGCCAGCAATGACTCAAGAAAAGCGACGAAACCCAGGTCACAAAAGGGCCTGATGCCAACTAAAAGGAAGGTCAAAAAGAGGATTACTCTTTTTGTTTTGACGCCCAGTATCGCCTTGTTTTTGTTGGAGCGTGTTTTGGCGCCCAGTAGCGCCTTGTTTTTGCGGATTCCCTAAATCAACTCCAAAAACCAGACTTTGCGTTGCCTTTTTCTCCATGTCCTGCCCCTCCCGATTTTGAGAAACAGCATCAAGGATGTTCGTTGAAATACTTATGTCCTGAGCTCCTGGACTTCACACTCTGGGTGCGATCAATAGCAACAGTAGTTTGTTGCTTACCCAAGTGGTTTTAGTTTTACGTTTATCATTTGGCAAGTTTGTGGTCACTAGTTGCTATTTGTTGGGAACATGTTTTGCGTTTGTGGTTCAATAAGTCTTTTATTTGCTGTATCTGTGCACGAGGTGAAACACAAATTAAAAGACTGCTTGCTTTGAGTAGTGTCGGGAGACTAAAAGGGGATGGGTAGGACATTCTCCATTTCCAGACCTCGCATTGAGCACCCGGTTCTCAAAGGCAACATTTCAGCCTCCCTTGGACAATTTCGCCTCCCACGTGGTGGTTTCACTCGCGATTCACTGGCCTTCATCCATCCCAACTGGTGCAGGGTTTTTGCCCATCCACAGGATTTCGGGGTTGACTTTTCAACGCAAGTCAGAATTTCTGACGGCTCAGAATTGACCCCTTTAGCTATTGCTTGGGTGACTTGGAATATGACAAGACGGGGCCAGGGAACATGAGCAAATATTCTAATCAAGTGCAGGGATGTACAATGTCCGGTTCAGAACCGGAGGCTATAGGCGCGTGGGATGGAAACCGGTTTCTGGAGCCTTTTGCCGAAAATCGCAGCCTACTGGTCTGGTGCATCCAGCTGGGGTGCCCAACCGCCGTCCTCAGAATGTCACAAGCTGAACACCTTCTTGCTTTCCCAAGAAAACTTTAATCTGGGTGGGTTTGTACGTGTTTCGGGTTCGAGGCAAATTCTAGCCTCACTTTTTGGCGCTGGCTCACAAGGGCCCGACCTTCTTCGGCTGCAGTTTGATTCGCCCAGGCTTGATTGCTCTTGGGTACAGGATCTTTAGACTTGAACTTTTTGGTTGAAATCCTGTTGGTGTTCCGAATTAAACCCACAACAAGTGTTAGTTCGACTTTTTGCAGGGCAGTCGTGAGATTGCAACCAGCAGAGCAGCACCAAACCTGCAGGGATGGGCCTTCGGACAAAATCGCCTCAGATCCTGGTTCGGTTTACGTCCTTGGATCTGGCGCAAGGCGTCAGATGGCCGTTGGGTTTGTCTTTTCTTAAAAAAAGGGGGCACCTCTTGTTTTGCAGGCTTTGTAGGTGTAAACGAAAACCAAGAGGAAAACCAGAGTTTTCTTTCAAGTCCCCCAGAAAAAGACTCTCGTTTGTGAACTGAACATCCAGTTGGGGGGAAGTTTTCATGATTCATCGGCGAGAAATGGCGAGATAAGTTTTGCCCCTGGTGCAGGTGGGAGATTCCGCGCAGGCTGTCACTCTGGAGGCTACGTGCCACCGCACCAGGCTGAAAGGGTGCCAAGCGAGATGCGGGCTGGGCTGGAGTTGGTATGTCCACAAAGCATGGAAGCTGAAGCCGGGGTCTTCACGCGGCCAACACTTACCAAGGGACGGCTATACCATGGCTTGAGATGGAAGGGGTATTGCCACGTCGGGCGGATGCAGCGTGACTTTGCAAAACCTTGTGAAGGGATCGCTTTACTCCACTGCAGGCTGATTGTTCTTCTTCTGATCACCCACTTCAATCCAAAACACGCCGCTAGCATCACAAATCATTATTGAAAGACCTATGTGTCTGAGCATCCCGTTGCACTGGAGTGGTCAGGA